ATAATAGAAAAAAAAAAAAAAAAAAAACATTATTCAATGAAAATATTGTCCGAACCCTTAGTATTTCTCTTCGACAAATACTTTAACACATTGTGAACCACTTTTCTTTCACGACTATAAAAATATTTTAGCTATTTAATTCATAAAACCAATTGCGCACATGTCACAAATGTCACCATAGAGAAAAGTAATCACTAGTGACTCCTAGTGAGGTGCGACAAACGAGTGCATCATAATCGATTCTTTTATCGATTAAGATATCGTATTCGAAATGTACAGAATATTAAAAAAAACATTTACTGGCTCATAAAATCTTGTAATTAACCCAATCTTCGGATTTGTATAATATTATTATACTAAGAGGTTTAAAAAAAGTAAAACACTGAAAGTTCTTAAGAATTATATTTTATTTAACAAAATCCTAGTTATTCAGTTCATAGAGAGCATGGCACTAATAAACATGGCTATGAAAAAATTGAAACTTCAAAAAAGTTTCCGTGTTACTTATTAATTACAGAACTGACATTATTGGAGAGAATATTTGTACATTTATTTCTTATTGGGGCATTTTAATTCGAATATTTAAGGCTGGAAAACTGGTTACGTAGCGCGGGCACAGACGAGGCCCAGCCAGTGGACGCAGCTATTCACATTGGCAGGTTCAGCATTCTCGACCTGTCACTTCTTTTTGGAACGATCCAGCATTTTACTCTGTAAAAAAAACAATATTTCAAAAATGATTCGGTTACGTGGCGAACTCTAAACTGAACATTTTTTAATAATTGGTTTATCTTACCCTAGCCAAGTTGAGGCCAATCTCACTGAGCCGCTTGTGCTGATATGTGAGAGGCTCGTGCAGTTTGGCATCGCCACGCTTGTAGAAGTCACTGTAGTCGAGCCGGAATGCCAGCGTTTGTAGCGACACCTCCGTGTGGAGAGCCAACTTCAGTATCAACGTTGTCACATGGCCCCTGCAGAAATAAATTACATTAATTAAGATAATTTTCATTAAAAAAATTCAGCAGATATTTTCTACTCTATTATTTACCTGTAAGTTCGAGCCCAAACATTTAAATCAGCTTTTCGACTAGCCAAGAATTGAAGGAAAATCTTTCTTTTATCTTTATCTTGCACTTCGTCAGCTGCCGTGAATGCATATTCACCTGATAAAAAAGATAAGGTTCCATCATCCAAAAAACATTAAAGCGTTATTTTAATATTCATTGCACAAATCTGTGTGTCATTAAATATTGGTATTGTTTTTATAATCGACAAGTTTAATGTGATATCGATAGTCGGAATTAGTCGATACGATTTGGAAATAGAACATCACTTTATTGAAAAGTGACAGTTTGCCATTACCGATACCGTCGCAGTAGCGGTGCACCGCGGATTACCCGAAATTAGAAACAAATAAAAATATTGTCCATTAGCTCTTTTATTACGATTATTTTCTATATTATATCTGTAACTTTGATAGTTACCTCGGGCCACTCGCTCCGCCTTCATCTGTTCGATGCGGTCCCGCCGCTCGAGCTCGGCGTTGATGCCATTGTGTAACGTCGCCTCGAAGCTGCGCAGTGCCAGCGTCTCGTTCAACACGTTACCTAAATAAGACTGCAGCTCCTACATGGAATAAGATAGTACATTAAAATCAAATAGATAATTTGTTTTTCATTTTTTAAAATAAATCTTTAAGTAGACTATATCAAAATATTGCAGTCGGTAGAGTGTAACAACAGCTTTCTTAATATTTTAGTTTTCTTAATACATATCTCTTAAGACGGCCTATTGGTCATAATAACGTTTGACGTATAACATTACATTATAATAGTGTACATAGGTTTTAACAGTGAATTAAAATACTCTTTGTCACAGGTACTCCTTGCCTTGTTTACAGGGCACAGCGCAACTAGAGTTACGGATAGTGTGATGTTGACGGCGCGTACCTTCATGGTATGGGCGTGTACTCGTGTGCTGCAGCGTATAAGGCGCTACTAAACAGTCATGTGTATAGTCCGGTCGCCGAGCACGTAGAATTTCGTCCAATGACCCCAAGCTACCCATCCTTATCGCTCGCGCGACTGTGCCACGGGCGGCAGCAGTGAGTGTGCGAAGACTTTAGCCACATACACGCCGCGTACCTGCGTGGTGTGGTGTATCATGGCGTGCGTGGAGTGCCGCTCGAGCGCGTTGTGGTGCAGCCGCAGCAGCGTGTCGAGGTCCTGGCGCGCGGCGGCGGCGGCCAGCAGCTCGGCCCACGCCGGCTCGGCGCCCACGCAGCTGGCCTCTTGCAAAGCGCCGCATAGACGCAATGCTTCGGCGCGTAGGCATGACACGCGACGCATCAGGCTCCATACCTCTGCACGTACAATGCAACTATAAATAGGGTATTTGCCACCACCAATCAATTGACGTACTTTTTAAAACTGTCAACACGAGACTCTCCCATAGATTTTATATGGCAATACTAGCCAGTGACGTCACTATTTTGTCAACTAAACTACTTTCTACAATCAAAAATCTTAATTTACTAGTAACTTCAGTGGTGGCAAATGATGATGATGATGATCCATCCGACCGATTTCGGCCATGGCGACCACTCCGACTCCTAGCTGTCTTGGTGTCAAATACCCAATAGCGAAAGCACAGGACCGGTCGTTGTGGAAATTCTTGGAATCTTCTTCATCGGAGGAAGTGGACGATGTTGGTTAAAACGAGAGAACGAGAACTTCACCCGCAGGGAAAAATCCCTGAAAAAAAAGGAAATCCTTTTTTTGATTGGTTGGCAGGTTAAATAAAATACTAAAACAGTGATTAGCTGAGTATCTTCAATCCTGAACTTTGGTAGAGGAGCGATGCTGGAGGTTTTGTTTTTGTTACGTCTAACGTTAGCGAGTATATACTTCAAATATGTATACTGCGACAACAGGCTCTTTTACGTAAATCACCCCTCCTGCACCGCTCCACGAACCTAGGAGCATACTCAGTTTAGCACCATACCATAAGATAAATTCACCGAAAACAAATGACACGAGAAAAGTCTGTCTATTCAACACCTGAGCCAAAACAAAACACTGACCGGGCGTGTACTTGAGCTGCTTCTCCAGAATGGTGTTCTCAATACGCTTGAAGCGCCACAGCTGCGCTTGACCACAGCAGCTAAGCCACAACAAATGAGCCTCGTCACTGACCGGGCATGTACTTGAGCCGCTTCTGCAGGATGGTGTGCTCGCGCCAGGCGTCGTGCAGGCTGTACTCGATGCGCTTGAAGCGCCACAGCTGCGCTTGACCACAGCAGCTAAGCCAAACAAATGAGCCTCTTGACTCACCGGGCATGTAACAAATGAGCCTCGTCACTGACCGGGCATGTACTTGAGCCGCTTCTGCAGGATGGTGTGCTCGCGCCAGGCGTCGTGCAAGCTGTACTCGATGCGCTTGACGCGCCACAGCTGCGTGAAGAGCGCGCGGTATCGGGCGGCGCACGTGGCAGGGAACAGCGTGCCCAGCGGCCCGTCCACGCGGTACTGCAGCGCGAACACGTCCCAGCCGCTGTCGTCGCGACCGTCGCCTGTATGTATACCATTATTACCATTATCATATTTTTTTGAAAAATACCATCTACCTAATTGTTACAACATAAAATGACTCAATTTAAAGGTACAAGTTCAAAGTCGCCATCGACATCACGCAGAAGCAGGGGGAGACGTTTCACCGCGTCACAACAGATTTCTATACAGGGTGGAAACGATAAGTGATCTCACTCGATTATTTCTAAACTATGCAAGATATCGAAAATCTGGTTACTGATCCTGAAAGTGTTTCATGAGCTCTATCCAACAGTACCAATAATAGGTTACAAAATGAACTGGATCTATCCGAAAATTCAATGTTTCCAGCTTCCATACATTTAGTAAAACCACTTAATATTAAAAACTATACAAGCTATCCAAAAACTGGTTACTGATCCTGAAAGTGCTTCATGAACTCTATCCAACGGTACTAACAATACGTTACAAAATAAACTGGATCTGTCCGAAAATTCAATGTTTTCAACTTCCATACATCCAATACTGCCACAGTCATGGCACTCATGTCTTGATAATATTATAGCAAGTAAAGCCTAGAACCAATGTTTTTCATGAATAATTTTAAATAAGAATGCAATTTACGAGTTAATTTTAAGTGTTTATTATTTAATAAAAAAATATTACACTTTTCATATTGTGTGGCTGGCATACATTTAGTATGGAGGCTAAAAACATTTAATTTTCGGATAGATCCAGTTAATTCTGTAACCTGTTACTGATACAGTTAGAAAGAGCTCGTGAAGCTCTTTCAGTATCAGTAACCAGTTTTTCGATATCTTGTGTAGTTTAGAAATAATCGAGTGAGATCACTTATCGTTTCCACCCTGTATATTTCTATGAAATACAATATGCGCGAATTTAGCGGAGGGGCCGGTGAGGGGTCATCAGCATCCTGGGGTGAGCACTAGACTATTCTGTGGTGGACACACAATAGTCTAGTGCTCACCCCAGGATGTTGGTCTTCGAAGATATCACCATCATTTCAGTCATAGGACGTCCACTGCTGAACAGAGGCCTCCTCCAACGATTTCCGCAAACAAAGGCCGGTTGGCAGCGGCCATCGAAGATAACTTTTATATAACAACCAACTAACCCTGCGGGAGTTTGCATCATGCGGTCCACACGGCTTATGACCGCAGTCGGTGGAGGAACACTATCTGTGGTCGCGATCCTCATCAGTGAGGGACCGAGGAAGAAGAAGAACCCTGCGGGTTCCCCTCTTCGACCATGGCAGGTCAGGGCCCTGACGAATTATGAAGTCGACTTGTCTGTGATGGAGGACCTATAACTACGGGGTAGGAAATGGCGCTAATGTGGGACAAGTCAGTTGATAGAATATCAATGGAAAGTCTTTACTCTTGCATAGAATGACGTATGCCGTACGTATCCAAATAAACAAGCGCCTGGAAATCTCATAATAAGACAATGATAATAGCGTCTTGGTCAAGCATGTAAATAAAATATCCTTTTATTCTCAATCTGTAAAGTCCCACAATGACGTAGAAAAATGAATCACGTAAAATTTTGAAACCTGTTTGTAAAACTTTATTTCCCGTTAATATCTCGTATTATTTGTGTAAATGAAGTAATAATGTTAGCGTCACATAGAATAAGGAAGGAAGTTTCCAGTAGGATGTGTTCACAAATTTTCAATACGAAATTTATCCTCGTAACATTTATCTTGTTTTTAAACACGCGTTCTTACGTCATTATAATCTTCTGAACAGTATACATAAACCTTTATTATGTGTTTACATGTTATGCTTTACTATTAATACATAGGGATTTATTTTTAAATTAAGTATCTGTACTTGTATTTATTACGCACGGTTCAGTTATTTATTTGTCCGTGGTATCGCTAGCAGGCGTTAACTGCCTCAATTCCTAGTAGGACTTAGCAATTTCACCGATTTCCTGGCGTAAAAAAGAAAGTGGTAGACAAACTGATACTTATTACGGCGCACGCGCACGGGTGACTTTTGTCACCGTTTTAGTATATCTCTCTATGGATACGAATAAGTAGTACGTTGTCTCTCTTTTTCTCTTAATAAAAGTGTAAAAGAGAATGATATACTTGTCACGGTGACAAAAGTCAGCGGTAGTGTAGTGTTGAGTCACAGTTGGAGTAGAGGTTGCCGTGCAGGCGCGCAAGCACTTGTGGACGTACCTACTGTTTAGTTATTTATCCGTGGTACCGCCAGAAGGCGCCAACTGCCTGAAGTAGGAGTTAGGTTAGCAATTACACCGATTTCCTGGCGTAAAAAAAGAAAGTGGTCCGTCCTGCACACTGATACTAGGCCTGTTCATCCTCTCCGAGTAGGCATCGAAAACAAAACACGCGCGGCCGCCGGCATGGCTAATCCACAAGGGATTTACGTGCTAGCAGTGACGCACGCGCACGTGCCGCGAAGAGCAGGAGTAAACGCTATTGTGGTGCGCTAGACGGCGACGTAGCTTCTTGTAAGTCAACCCTAGCGCATCGATACAGTACCGTCTACCGATCACTGAATAGGTTTAGTGTATATTGAATTGTTTTCTCAAGTAATAAGAGTGAAATTCGCTTACGATGGATTTCTCTGCATATCTAAACGAAACGATGCTCGACTATGAGGCAAGATAAATTATACCATATTGTTGACTATATTGAGTAGGCATTTTTTAAAATACCTTAGCGCAGTAATTCTTCTGTACGAACTACGAAGTACATTATAGTTCGTTTCATCCACGAAGACGCGCAGGGTCGAGTGAAGCGGGGGGTGCGGGGAGTTTGATCCGACCAATCCGAGCGTCATTGTTGGCATTGGTAGCGTTGCTTGCGTTGCAGAAGGCAATACGTAGACGCGAGGTCCAAATGCTGCGTGATTGGTGGATTTTGACATATCTGTCAATGTCACGTCAAAAATAACCAATCATGCAGCATTTGGACCTCGCGTCTACGTATTGCCATCTGGCGGATTTTTCATTCGCGAAAACCCTCATTTGATAGTTGTCCGCGAGTGCGCGCGCAAACTACAATGATGACGCTTGGACTGGTCGGATCATGCTCCCCGCACCCCGCGCTTCCCTCGACTCCGCGCGTCTTCGTGGATGAAACGAACTATACAGGGTGGAAATTTGTAATGCCACCTGGAGGGAAAGTACTCTTAATACTGTAGATAGAAAATTTTACTGAAAGAAAACATTCCTTTATTTTTGAAAAGAAAGAGAACTGCATTCAAAGATTTTTGAAAATTTTTCTAACATCCACTACTATACCATACAATTTCCTGTAACATAAATTAAAATAATTTAAGATTTCATGGTTTTCTTTTCATTTGATTTATGAAGTTTGTTAGAGAGATTTCATCATTATACTTAACCCTAACGATCGATGTAATAAAAATAAAGGGTGTAATTTTAACATATTTTAGTTGGTTCGATTCCGGGGTGTGGCAAGCATATTATTGGAAATCTTTAAATGTAGTTCTATTTCTTTTCAAAAATAAAGGAATGTTTTCTTTAAGAAAAAAAATCTATCTACAATATTAAGAGTACTTTCCCTTCAGGTGGCATTACAAAATTCCACCCTGTATTATTCTGTGCTGATACTTATTATTGTGCACTCACAGTTGGGGTAGAGGTTGACGTGCAGGCGCGCGAGCACGTGCGGCGGCTCGAACTGCGCGTTGGTGGCGCGCACGGCCGCCTCCAGCGTGCACGACAGGTTGTGCACGTACAGCGACGCCGCCGGCTTGCTCAGCTCGTCTCTGCAGAAACACCATTACTTAGGCTGGTTTTAGCTTCACGCGGACTGTCAGTGCTCCGCACAACCGATCTGTATGAACTGCTACGGGACTATTCCCACCTCTCGTTCCCACCACTGCAACTCCTGTGTAGCCAGGATCTACAGCTTGACCGCCACAAAAACCCAACCAATGAAGGTCAAGTTTGTCCCGGGGGAAAGTTAAGCTGTCATTGGACCCGCAACGAAATTAATCAGAAGAACATAGGATTTCGAAATTAAGGTTCGACTTCCCTCCATTGCAAAGCGGATGACAGGTGACAAACAAAGGCTTAGAACCTTTAAGAAAAGATTATGCACCACGGACAATAAATTAAATTAAGGGGGCCTATCTTATGAGCAATTAGCAACTACCTGCCAATAATATTTTTCACAAAATCGCTTAAAAGCACGGAAATTTTTCCTTGTCGCGACAAGATCGGTGTAATAAATTGCGGAAACAGATGTATGTATGAACTGCTAGGGAGCGAGCGGTTCGTGCGGACCGCATTACTCTAAAACGCTCCCTTGAAGTTCATACAGATTGGCCGTGCGGAGCGGGTCCGCACCGGGCGGTCCGCGTGACACTAAAACCAGCCTAAGGTGGATGCGGACTTATGCGGACGCCATATAAGGAGGATCGTACAATTTTTGAGTTTATCAGTTGGCAGTTACAATGGCGTCATCTGGTGAGTAGAACACGACAGTACTCTTACTTCAGCGTTCAACTGGCACCAACATGGCCCTGGCTCTGGTATCTTAGCTACTAGTGACAGGACCTGACTCTTACTGGCGCCAACTGGTGAGCGCCAAAACGGTAGCCCTCATTGGGTTGCAGACAGCATGGCCACATAAATCGTCGAAATACCTAACCATCTTACCTAAGTCTGTCGCCATAACAACAATGTTAACAGCATTGGCTATCTTACCTCTAACTGCCGGAACACAGGCAGTTAGAGGTAAGATAGCCAGTTCCTCCGTGGTTGAGGACTCCGGGTAAAGCTCGCTTCCCCTTCGGCCTGATCGTCACTTACCATAAGGTGAGATTCAGGCCAAGAGCTTCCGCGTTGTGGACAAAAAAAATCTTAAAACTAGCATAAAATATGACGCATAAGGCGCCTCCTTCGCTGTAGCGCAGTACCGCACCGCTCAAATGTGGTTTTACGTGTCATCACGCTCGCTCTGTGTGTCNGAGTTTTTGTTCCAACTCTGCCCTCCATTTTTATCTTTAGCTTCATGATCCGTCATCCATTTTTTCGTTTCACGCTCCGCTGTTTCACGATTTTGGAATGTCCGCGTCGTTTTTATTTTATGAAGTCAAAGAGTATTAAAATCTTTAAGTTATAGATCGCCCAACGAGAGTTGAGGCTTGAGGCCATCAACCCTAAAATATTCTCCAAGCCATTAAAACACATACAAGTAAAGATCAGTATCTTATAAGTTGTCTACGCTGACGTTTTGCGTAGTAGAACTGAAAAGTTATTTCTGATTATCATTCAAAGAAAATCCCTGGGCCCTGATTGCGGTAATTTGTAATGTCTCCAATTCGTTCGATATAAAGTCTGAACACATAGTTTTACTAAAACTTGCATGTCATGTGTGTGACTAGAGATGGGTAGTGGGTAAAAACCCATTTCACCCGATTGGGTTAAAACTGGGTGATTTGGGTAAAAACCCGGTTTTTACCCATTATCACCCATTCTGGTGGGTGAAAACAAAAATAGCGTTTTTTTAAAGTGAGAAGTGGTATTTGTTGCTAAGGGGGCGTTCTAGTGTTACGTAATGCAATCTGGGGGGAGAGAAGGTCTTGAAAAACGTTACAATGCGTTACAGTGGCTGTGTGTCACTCACTGCAGCAGCGTCATGAGGTGGTGCACGAAGTCGCCCTGCGCCAGCAGCAGGTAGCGGCGGTGCGCGGCCAGGTGGTCCAGCAGGTGGTGGTGCGAGGTGAGCGCGGCCAGGCGCCGCGTCATCACGCTCGCTGTGTGTCACTCACTGCAGGAGCGTCATGAGGTGGTGCACGAAGTCGCCCTGCGCCAGCAGCAGGTAGCGGCGGTGCGCGGCCAGGTGGTCCAGCAGGTGGTGGTGCGAGGTGAGCGCGGCCAGTAGCCGCTGCGACGCCGCTGCGTGTGCCAGCGCCACGCCCGCGCGTAAACCCTCCGCTTCCCACCACGCCGTGCCTGCCGTGCCGTCCGCTTCTGATCCGCTCCCTGCGGGAAGCAATGGGATTGAATACATCTGGGACGCGAATTTGTAGTAAAATTGTATCAGATCATCCCCATTCATTAGGAAAGTGTGACCGGCTACGTTTTCAGTTTGCATTTCTATAATTTCTAACGAGAGTAAAGAGTAAACATACACTGGGCTCGCTTGCTAACTCATTCAGTGAGCACACATCCACAGCGGACGAAGCGCTCATTCAGTAGCGCAGTTTATACACTATGCTCGCTTGCTAACTCATTCAGTGAGCGGCTGATCGGTAACGAACGAAGCGCGCGGTAAGTGACTGCATCCACGTGCTGTGCGGCTAACGTTGCCAGCGTTTGCTAACCTACACTACAGTGCAGTAGTAGCGGCACGTACCCGTGTGCGACTTGAGCAGCGGCTGCAGGTGGTGCGCGTGGTCGCTGGGCCCGGGCTCGTCGGCGCACGCCTCTCGCATGAACACCACGCTCTTGCCCGTCGCCAGGATCTGCGCCGCTTGCTCGCGCGACATGAAGGAGGGCACCATCCACTCTCTGATCAAGAATGGAAACATTGTTACACAAGTGTGATGAGGCGACACAATGCAAAGGGCGTAGCAGGATAGTCTTGGAAAAAGTGCCCCCAAAGCCTGAAGCTCGAAACTGTGGTCAAACGATACTTTGTATAAAGATAGTATATTGTGCAAAATTTCACCCCCCCAGGGAGCCACGCCATCCATCTATACCTAAAACTGTTTTATTTTTTTTCTCCAAAACTATGTAACTGACGAATTTAAATTTTTGCACAGGTATAGTTGTGTCTCATAGTAATAATATAAAAAAACAACAGCTCTATAACTACCTTCCATGACGGAAAAAAATAAAAAATAAAAATTGTAACACCCTGTATAATGATTTCCTTTGGTAGTACAATCACAGAACTTTTTTAAAATGAGTGCCAACATTCTACCTACGTAATCCCAAAGTTTTGTCTATCTAGCTAAGTTTCGAGCTTCAGGCTTTGGGGGCACTTTTTCCAAGACTATCCTGCTACGCCCTTTCCCCCCACACTAGCGTCTTTCAAGCGTCGTCGTCTAGTTAGCGCTATAAGCAGCGCTAATGTCGCGTCCGTACGGCTCTAAAGTAAGTTTTTCCGGAGTCACGGCGATCTTGCCAGCGCTTGAAAGACGCTAGTGTGGGGAGTCCCTTATAGAAAAAACAAAAGCCGAGCTGCAGTCATGCAAGTTGGTTAACCAACGCTAATATGCAAGGGGAATTAACTTACCTGACTCGATATTTGTCGTGCCACATCCTGTCAATAGGAACACCGCTTCGGCTTTCAATGAAAAATTCATTGTACGGATCATCAATTTCACCTGAAATTATTTTGGATTTGTAATACCTTTTTTAATTTAAAAGTGACCAAAAATAAGTATTTTTTCACAGGCTTACCATGTAGGAGCCAACGCGTCAACATGAGCAGCAAAGGATAGGTTAGTGCCGTGAGCAGGCGTCGGGCCAACGTGGCCACACGCTCGTCTCCGTGCCGGACGAAACGGTGGATGCACGAGGCTAGTTCTCCTCCTAATACATAATAAACATTTGAAGATTTAACTGGTCCTCCCACTACCGGACATTGATAAGTGAGCGTACGTTGACGGAGCGCTCACTTTAACTTCGATTGCGATCAAGTAAAGCCTGTTCCGTGAGCACGTAGAATTTTGTCCAATGACCCCAAGCTAGCCATCCTTATCGCTCGCGCGTAATTATATTGCTGTCGCGCTTGCACACTCACTGAGGGCGCGCGTCGCACAGTCGCGACAGTAATATAATTACGCGCGAGCGATAAAGATGGGTAGCTTGGGGTCATTGGACAAAATTCTACGTGCTCACGGACCAGGCTTTACACACAATTTGAATTTGCTATCTCGCCCTCTTTCTTTTTCAGAATATCTGATGAGCCCTCGCCGACAAATTTAATATCTCTTCATTTACGACTATTATTAGGAATGGAATGTTGTAAATGGCCAATAAAAAAACAAGGCTTTATGGCTAGTTTTTTTCTTAATAAAACTTCTTTCTTTCATAAATGAAGGATACCTTTCTTATGGTGTGCTGTGTGCGCCATGTTGGCAAGCCAAGTCATTCTGTGCAGAGGTTCTTGGGCCCATACGCAAACGCGTCGCAGCGTGCCGCCGCCTCCATCGCCTTCACATGCCTATTAAAAAGTAAGACAAAAAATATAAACCTAGTACAAAATCCAAATCCTTTGGGAATAAATAAGAAAAAGCTGTCATTTTATGGCTATGAAAAAATAACCTAGGTCAAGAACTGTATCTTTAAAATAGTGATTAAATATCATACCTGCGATTGGAGAAGGGCTACACTCCTATAATATTCTGTGAGTTCATCCCTTATAGAAGCAACCAAACCTTCTCCCATGAGACCTAAAACAATGAGTTGTAGATAGATAATATTTTTTGTAAATAGCATACCAATTACATAAAGAAAGAATACATACCTTGAGGCATAATCCCAGAGTTGGGATCAATGAATTCCTTGAGCCTATCATGTAGGAAGCCAAGGTGGGCAATGCGAGCATACAGAGCCTGCATCGGGCGTGACCCGCCGCCCGCACCCCGCGTTTTCACCCCGGTCGCTGCTAACACCGCCTCCCGGACACATAGGCGATCATTTGGTCGATCTAACAAAAAAAGTAGCAATTTACAGTCCATAAAGAATCAGTACATCACATAGACATGAACTTGTTTTATGTTTCGCGCGCTACGTTAATTCAATTAACGTAACGTAAATTCATCTTGTTAATCAACCAATAGACTCACAGCTAATCAATGAGGTGGTCAAAACAGCCATACCTGCTATTCTAGTCAGTTCAAGATTTTTGCTTAACTTTTTCATATGCCAAGCTGTAGCTATAACTTACAGTACTGCAACATGTGGTCACATGCAAGCAGTCTCCAGATCCCTTCTGTACATCAACTTTAATGATCAAGTGAAAAATTCATTATTGTCTACTTGCTTACCATTTGATTGTAGAACCAAAGCCATATTACTGTTATTAGATGGAAGACTCTGATTAGATCCTTGGTTTTTAGGCGCTCCTTGACTTCCCCAGCTCACTGAGCCTATTGTACTTTTGCTGGAACTTGATGCAGCACCAGAAAGCCCAATGTTTGACTTCTGTAAAAAGAAGTTGGATTAGAAAAAAAGATACTTAAGACTGCTATAAGTTTACCATTAAAAAGAAAGATAATGTAAATGCTTCATCTGAATAAATCTTACCGTGGCCAACTGGGGTATAGGAAAAAGTTGGTGTGTTGATTCCGTCTGCTGTGGTGCTTCTGACAGAGCAAGAAGCAATGAAAGAACAGAGACTCTTTGCTTTAAAATAAACTGAAAAAAAAGAAATTGATGATTTTATGCAGCAAATTGTTTTGTCATTTCAATAATTTGATATTTACTTTTTATGTTTTAGGATATGATCACACATTATAAATTCACAAACAAATGATAGCCAACTAATGCTATTTACATCATATTTGAATGTAAATAAAAAAAAGTTAAAATTCTTACAGTATTTTTTAATTTGGCATAAAATTCATTGAATTTATCCACATCCCTGGCAGACACAGAGGTAAGGCGCGATTGTATCTTTTGACAGAGGAGCCTTTCATCTTGATTGGATCGTGCTTTCTCACTGGTAGACGATAAGTACGACACGGCCAGTTCATACGCGCCATCTAGAAGTAAATAATAATAGTAATTAAAACAAAATAAGCCAAAAACACATGATGGAAATTTAATTTAAATCTTTATGGATTTTAATTTCCCAGATGTAAAGTATCTGTTTGGATACCTCTCTTGAACTTTTTAACTATATCTCTGAAATAGTCTTGTATGTTATTCATAAAAATAGGTGTAGTAAAATTTATGAATGTAATGAAATCACCATGAACCAAACATGTTTGACAGATATTGATCATAAATTATTTCGAAATTGATTCAAAATTGGAATAATACCTGGATCAGTTGACAGTCCAACACATAATTTATGAAGCAACGTAGCAAGATTACTCGACCCATCCATTCTTCCAGAGTTCAAAATAATTGAAACCAATGAAAACAATAATAATTCAAGTGTATCACATAAACGGTTTTATTTCCATATTTCGCTTTGGAACCGGAATTTATAGAGTAATTAAAAGCAAGGTGGTGGTATTTAAAAATCACATTACTATTAAAAATATTAAAATATTGGATTTTGTGAAATTTGTAAATATCGCTCGCTTTCGTTACGGTCAACAACTTGACAGAGTTTTTTTTAAACTGAATGACATTGACAAATCAAAAAGAAATTCAAATTCACAGAGTAAGCATAACATAATAGTGCTGTACCCCAAGGACGTACAACTCTTGTAGTCGTATCGCAATCGTACAGCATAATTACAACGAAACTTTCTTCGTAAATGACTTCTAGTAAGTTCTAGTGTGTGAGTGTGACATTTGAGAACTATCTTTGTAAATAGTTTTGAGTAAAAAAAAAGGAATGTGTAGTGACTTCTTTCTTTTCTTTTTGTTTCAACATCAACAAATACCTTTTCTCTGTAAATGTTTAACAATTTGAGGGCACGATTGAAAACGTAGAAAATGAGCTTCTCGAGTGATGAAGTTAATTTCTTAGTTTACCGCTACCTACAAGAATCTGGTGAGGTTCATTGAACTGCTGTAGACGCTAGCTACGTGATGGTGGAAGAGCATGATCGTAGCGCGTCGTGGTAATTTTTATTTTGTAGTACCCACTTTTTAATTATTTCTATTTTAGGTTTTCATCATTCCGCATATACCTTCGGCATTGAGTCTCACATTTCACAAAGCAACATAAATGGGGCTTTAGTACCTCCGGCGGCGTTGCTGAACATACTTCAAAAGGGCCTACAGTATACAGAAGCAGAAATTACACTCGGAGAAGATGGTACTTAATTTTTTACAAAACACTTATGACAGCATCATATAGTTATTGGTATAGCTATTCAATTTGTCATTTTAAAACATTGAGGCACCATGAATCATTAACTACCTGCCAATTCTAGCGACAACATGGGAATTATTTACCAAGTGACCATCCATCTTATTCCAGGATCTGAAACTCGTCTAACTGAGAGCCTTAGTTTAATTGACGCAGTAACACCAGATATTGTTGCTGCCCGTCAAAATGCACATAATGCACAAAAACAAGCTATTAAAGCCGAGCCTGGCTCAGGAGGAGAACAACAAAATGGTGTGGAGGTAAGTGACTATGATCAAGGAATTCAAAATTAAGAATATTATGTTCCTCTTCGAATATTTACCACTTTATTTTGGTCCATAGGTCCAATATCTGTGATATTGACATATTGTGATAATTTTAAAATACTTTTTAGGGCACACCGTGTACCACGGCAACAACAACAGGGGGTGCTGCCACGCCCAGTGCTCCAGAGACCATGGATGTTGATCAGTCCATTGAAATTCCTGCAAGCAAAGCCACTGTGCTCAGAGGTCACGAATCTGAAGTGTTCATTTGTGCATGGAATCCCAGCACTGACCTACTAGCCAGTGGTTCTGGTGACAGCACAGCAAGGTATGTGTGAAATGTTTTTTTGCATTGTTTTAATAAATATAGGTACAATGCAAAAATAAGAGAAGTTATTTAATATCTTCTATTTTTATAGGATTTGGGATATGTCCGATAACCCTGCTACCACTCCAAATCAGCTTGTACTGAGACATTGCATCCAAAAAGGTGGAGCAGAAGTGCCTAGCAACAAGGATGTCACATCATTGGATTGGAATGTAAGCAATCAACAGATTTTTATAGTATAATATTGTCTAAACCTTCATTAGATTTAATTTTTGTAACAAAATATAAATTATTTCAGTGTGATGGCAATCTGCTGGCCACCGGATCATATGATGGCTATGCTCGTATATGGACTACAGATGGAACCCTGGCGTCTACATTGGGTCAACATAAGGGGCCCATATTTGCATTGAAATGGAACAAACGTGGAAATTACATTTTGAGTGCAGGAGTAAGTTTTAAACATTTATACACAAGAAAGTAAAATGTATTTACAGTTATTTTTAAAGTATGAATAATTAATTAATTATGTTGTAAATTACTATTTAGGTGGACAAAACTACTATAATTTGGGATGCTGCAACTGGTCAATGTACACAGCAGTTCTCGTTTCATTTGGCTCCAGCACTGGATGTAGATTGGCAAACAAATACTTCATTTGCATCATGTTCTACTGATCAGTGCATCCATGTATGCAAGCTCAATGCTGATAAACCTATCAAGAGCTTCCAAGGACATACAGTATGTATACCCATCTTATTTTAATCACACATTATTTAGGTTTATGAGAGAAAGGTACTTAATTTTTTTTTTGTTCCAGAATGAAGTAAATGCTATTAAGTGGGACCCACAAGGACAGTTGCTTGCATCATGTTCTGATGATATGACCCTAAAAATCTGGTCCATGAAACAAGACACTTGTGTTCATGATTTGCAAGCACATTCAAAAGAGATTTACACCATTAAATGGTCACCAACTGGACCTGGAACTCAGAATCCTAACATGAATTTAATCTTGGCCAGTGCATCCTTCGATTCTACTGTGCGCTTGTGGGATGTAGAAAGAGGAGCATGTATCCATACCTTGACAAAACATACAGAACCTGTATACAGTGTTGCATTTTCACCAGACGGCAAATTCCTTGCCAGTGGTTCATTTGATAAATGTGTACATATTTGGTCTACTCAGACTGGGGGACTGGTGCACTCATACAAAGGCACAGGAGGAATTTTCGAAGTATGTTGGAATTCCCGGGGTACTAAAGTTGGCGCGAGTGCTAGTGATGGAAGTGTATTTGTTTTAGATTTACGCAAATTGTAGTAAATAGCTGGTGTTAGTGTTCACTGAAACACTAACATGCCTATGGACACGCCTTTTAATGTATTAACATGAGCAGTGACTGCCACAGTTTGGTCACATTGAAGGTATTTCTAAGGTAATGACTAAAGTTATATAAACTGATATATTTCAATACCTAGCACTAGTTGCATAAGTAATAACTAGCTCATAATGTGTATTAATTTCTTTACTTCTAACAATATTGTCCTAATTATAAGTAATATTACATAATTTTTTTTCATAAATTTTGTTTGGGGTATTAACATTATTATCAACTATTATAACTGATAATATAAAAGCAAGGAAGAGCTTAGATTGACATTCCCAAAACAAATTCAACTTACATGTAATTTATTTTCTATATTTTTTGTAGATTTACCATGTTTTGCCCATGGGTACTGTTTTGTTGGACTAGTCTGATTTTTTTCCCATATTGGTTGACAGACCACAGAAATTTAATTTAGAAACCTCAGAGAAATAGTTTTAGATCATTGAATGCTTTGGAGAAACTAGCGAATATAATTTATTATCTTTTATTAGTTTATTTTCCTTTTTATTCCTATACTAGCTATTTATTCATTATTTTCCGTTACACTGGTTGACTGCACAACAAAACCGTACTAAAGACAAAAAGGGAGATTTACCAATAGATGTATGAAATATCTTAATAATAGTGTATGAAATGATACATTTATTGTATAATTGAGAGAAATAAATACTTTTTACTCTTAAGAAGTTATCTTATTATTTTTAGTAAAATAAAAACAGGCATGTAGCAAATTATACATTTTATTGTTATAACATAGGTCTCTTATATGCCAGCAAATCTTCATGTTTGTATAGTGAGTGAAGCTTTTCATACATGTATTTAAAAAAATATAATAAGTTATCATACTGTCCTTTGTATGGGATACATTGTTGGTGGTCACAGCTGTTAACATTGTGAATGGGATAATTCAGGGTGAGGTAATTCTTGTAATTATGATCTCGTCCCCATGCACATAAATGTAGTTCTAGCATAAGTTGATGTAATGCCTCTATAGTTGACAAATACCATCGAGGGCTTCCTTTCTGGTGACGCCAGAATTGAGAAGCTCTATTCTGTAAAACAACTTTGGGCAGCTTTTGTAATCTAGCATCTGCAAATATTCCCCGACTTTGATTCCATGTACTATCAATAAGTACAACCCTGGTTATTGGCAGTTTGGTTGCATGGTATATTTCTGAACAAACTTTATCTTCTTCAACAATTTTTGTCATAAGAGTGCCAACATTAAATCCATGAGGCAATTCAGCCAATAGTTGTTCACTGTAAGTAACATCACTCTTTTTTCCTGTAAATAATTCGCGTACAGTTTTTGCTTCTATTCCGGGGTAAAGCAACACAGTGGTACCATCATGCTGATAGTTTGGTACATCTGGGTATGTAAATACATTAACATCAAGAGGTGCTAACACAGCAGCGTGTGCGGCAGTGCTTTTTCCATCAATTTCACGACGGTGTTTTATAATGTCCACTTTGACAGGCAACTAAAAAAATTACACAAAAGCTGAGCGAAATAGGTAGGTAACCTAGGTTATCTAGTTCTAGTTTTTAACTAGACTTACCTTGCACAAAGGTATACAACCATCCAATTGTGAAACTGGAACAAAACAAGTGTAACAGAAATACATTCTTGATTTCCCACATTTTGGGCAAGGGCTCCGACCGTTTAAAGAATTTAACGGTTCCGAGTTTTCTATGGCCATATTCTCAAAGGGATTATCATCTCTAAGTCTAGCTTCCAGGCTCTTGGGATTCATGTTTTATTAAATTTTAGTTTGAGAGGTTATTTTGTTTTGATACTTAGAAAATATTGGCAGTGACAGAACAGTACTGATACTGACCACAGAGCACACAAATCTTGACTGACATATCTGTGACTGACAGTGTAATCATGTATTAATTTTCTCTATGGTGTAATCCGTCCATCCGTCTCCGTCACATGCATAGAGAAAAGTAATACATAGGAAATAGAGAACCCTCTCTGTCAAATTTTTGAGCCTACTAATTGACAGCCTGGTGTTAAATTCGCTGTANTCCGGTATCCGGCCAAACAACTATCCGTTTCATCTCTAGTTAAGACTACGAACAAATCTATATTATTCACAATAGCTTCCATTGTAATTACATGTTAAAAACCGCATTTAAAGTTGAATGTTATTGGTGACGTTACACAGCCCAAACTAAATTTAAAACAAATAAACAATCCTTATCTGTTTTTTACCCCCACCCCTGACCATTACTTATCTGCTTATTCGCAAAACACGTTATTTGCGAGGTATGAGTAACTTCATTGTTGTTTTAAAGGCATGTGCTGATAGGAAAGAAAGGGTTTAACAGATTCTGAGAATAGATAACAATGTCACCTAACGAAAAAATCACTTTCTAGTACCGTAATCGAATCTTTTTCTAAAAAAAAAGAACTAAAATACATTTACAAGAAGAGTCAATTTTAATTTTTTTCGGAATCGGAAGGCTAAGTTGCGGTTTGGAGCAGCTGGAAATAGCTTAGAATATTAATAAATAATGCAGTTATACCGACCTATGTTGTTTCAAGTCACGATCTAGCAGGTCTTCGGAGAAAATTAGCACTTTATGTCTCGTTTCATACAAAAAAAACACAAATTATTTTTTTTAAGCTAAAGTATCAGGTTTAGAGAAAAATGTGATATGACATGTCGTGATGAGTGAGCAAAGGACTATCGATTGGCAATTTTTAAAATTCGATTTTCCGAAAAAAATCCCTATGTCCACTTTAATGCCATTTCGATCCACCGTGCGCTCCTGTGAACGTGTTGAGCGTTTTTCAAATTAGACTCCCGTTGTTTGCATAGTCGTGAAACGGTTAGCTGGTGAAGAATAGGACCACGCCCACTCTTCGCGTGGGTGAATGAAATATGCGGACATCAGGTCTTCCCGTATCATCTAACTAGCGTGGTGGTGTAAGCCAAATCTTCCATTAACCTCTAGTTAAATAGAGAGGATCTTCCTGCAATGGAGACTATTAATTTTATGATAAACTTGCAGAAGTTGATAAAACCTTCCCAAAATAAATGAATAACGGTGGCGATATGTCTGTTTGTAGGTGTGTAGAGGAGCTAAAAACAAATGAGAAGTGGGTGTTACCAGCGCTAAAGATGATGCGCGAAATTTGCTGCCTGTACGAGGCGGGCGGTGGGACTGGCGTGCGGCCGCACGTCACGCGCCAGGAGCTCATCGACCGCCTGCAGACGCAGCATTCGCTCGTCATTCTAGTCACCGACTCGCTCACGCACTATATGGACGGAGTTAGGAACAAGCAGACAGGTACGTGTAAAGATATGTTAATTTATGTCATCTTTTAGAAGTCCTTACAATCCACGCTGCCTCCAATTAACGCTGCAGTGAGCTGCTCTTTTTAGGCGGTTCACATCTAGTGCTTTCCTGTAGGCCTATAGTCCGATTTTTAATTCGACGGAATTCTGACAGCTGTCATTTTTTGACAATTCAGATGTAATAAGCCTTTTTTGCTTTGAATTATTAATAAATAATATGAAATNCCACCCTTGGGGGTTGTTTTTTCTATTATTAAATTTAAATGGGACCACCCTTGAGGTATTACCTATACGCCGAAAAAAGATTTGTTCAAATCGGTTCATAATTGGCGGAGTTATCGCGTAACAAACATAGAAAAAAAAAAAACATACGGGTCGAATTGAGAACCTCCTCCTTTTTTGAAGTCGGTTGAAAAGGCGACCTTTTTTTCACTGATGGTCTGATGACATGATGCATGCAGTTTAGTCAGATTACGCAGCAAGTAAACTAATGTAATTTTCGCTATTCAATCACAAACGATTGCAACCGAAATCGCCTGAAATGATTTGCCCCCTAGACAAGTGGCAAAATCTGACATTCTATTCGGACGGATTCGATTTTCGGAAAGTGTGACTAGTCTAGTCTACTAATAGACCCACTGATCGCGTTTGAAGCATCTGTGCGGCGCTAAATTCGTCACGACATGCAACGAGACAATGAGCCAACTATCCGGCCGCCGGATATCCGGCTATCCGGCCTAGCAGCTGGCCGGATATCCGGTATCCGGTATCCGGCCAAACAACTATCCGTTTCATCTCTAGNCCGGTGTAAACACCCACGGGTGGAATGAAACGGGTTTTTATTGGGTTTTTACCCTCATGTGGGTTTTTACCCGGGTGGAAACCCATCTCTACATGTGACTCATGTGAGAAAAAGTAGCTTTCTGTTAGTTTTTACCGGGTCTCCAGTGTGTTGTGTGTGTTCTTTTGCGACAGAAGAAGACACGCTGGAGACCCGGGTTTGTACAGATTGAAACAAATTCTTTGTTTGCCTGAGGCACACCTGAGGCCTCCACTCTCGCTGTGCGACCTTAGCGACCTATACTAAGAACTATGTTATTAATGCTAGAATTTCTGTGAATCACACTTTTAGACACTTAAAGCGCCTAATGATTTAAGTCATATAGCTAGCTACTGTAGAAAATGTGCATGAATACAGATGTAAGGTCTCTTTCTCGTACCGTATAGCGTTATCTCCCTCATATTTGGGTACATTTTCAAGGAGTCCATCAATAGATAAAAGAATCGGCCCTTTAACTGTGTTGACAGCTAAAAAAAACTATCTGCTGAAAATTTTTGATATATTTTTCATCTATTTTCGTTCTTTACGTCAAAAAGGTGTAGTGATTTTCTATTTGTGATTTTGTTCAAAGATTTACGTGTAATTTGGATATAAGTTGAAGATAAAGGTACGGTATTCTGTTATTTTTCAATTTAATACAGTGGATTTTACGTCGTAACGTAAATAACATAATTTTTTCGCTTTGTCTTGTTTGGGATAATGACGCCATTTTGTCGCGCCGGCTGATCGCTATGAATTATTATTTTCATGTCTTCATTGGGTTGGGCTATTGGTGCAAATATTTTTTTATGTAATGAAAGTGAATTATAATTTCTAAACTGTTATTGCCGTCTCGTCAAGTTGATAAATTACATAAGAAGTGGCACATATAGTTGCAGTGAACTTGCATTAAAATTTAGAGGTACCTGGAAGTTGAATTTGTGAGTTCAGTTTTGACCAAGTAAATTGTTATAAAATGTTCTCTCTTATTTATCTACCTGCAGTCTAACTCATCTTATTTGCTGATGCATACCTACTCTATCATTGTTAGTTCTGTAGTCTCTATGACATCAATATTTCCTAGAAAATGCAGCACAAGGGACAGAAGATTCCATTACATATAAGTAGTATCTGTTGAATTTAATTGAATCGATAATTTATAGCTTTTTATACCTTCTAATTAAAAGGTCAAAGAGGATTTGGAGAGAGTTGAAGAACACCTTCAGTTATCAAAATTATTTATGTATCTGTATCATTTATTTTCATGAAGATGGTATTATTTAGGATATAGGTTAAATTTTTTATATTTTTTCAGGGGGCAATGAATAACTATACAATAAAATAATGACAATATCTATGAATGATCAACAAGACCAAATGCCCGGGGAAGTAAGTAATCTATGTTAATTTATTCATGTAGTGCAAAGACATATTTTTTATTATATTGGAGGGTTTTAAGGCATTTAGAGGGTTAGAAGCAACACCTCATCCAAAAGAATGCATCTTGCTGGTACTCTGTCAATATAAAAACATTATTGTTCATAGGTACTTCATAGTTAATTGCACATAAAGATGGAAATTACCTATTTCGAAATTTATTTTATGATATTTGGTTGTAATAAGTGTGAATGTTAAACAGATGGGTTTCCCCGAGGCAAAGTTAAGAGCACTAGAAGAAAAAATTTCCCATTCACGTTGGGTTGTTCCTGTTTTACCTGAGCAAGAACTAGAAGCTCTTCTTATTGCTGCTACAGAACTTGCAGCAAAAGGTAGAATATCTTTCTTATCTTCAAATTTTAATGAGCAGAGTAACTTAATTGCGAATTTCAAAATATACATAAAATATTATTTTTTATTATCAGGGGAAGATGTTAACAATCCACTCTGCCAACGATTTTACAATGATGCCCTCACAGTATCATTTACAAAGATTCTTACTGATGATGCTGTATCATCGTGGAAAAGCAACATTCAGCAATGTGTTAGGTCCAACTGTGAGAAACTTGTCAAACTATGTGCTTTAAAATTGGATGATCCAAGATTTCTGAATTTGCTGTGTATGGCATTTACTCCTAGTAACAAGTAAGTAGAACATTTGATTATTTGTAGCTCATGACTTTCCTAAATCAGCCATGTTGTATACTTAGGTTTATTTCAAAAAGAAAATTATTTTGCATCAGAATGCAGGCATAGATATATGGAGGTTTAATGAATAATACTTAACCCTTGACACTGACATTTTCAGATTTCACACGTTTAATGCATCCCGTACCTGTGAGGGTCTCTCTGTGACCACCAGTTCAACATCAGTAGGTCAAGGCTCTACTCAGGAACCAGAAGTTTTTGCCAAATCGCATGATCATCGAACACCAAGAGGATGGCTGGTCCATCTTATCAATGTGTAAATATCATTAAACCACAATTAATATTTATTGCTCTGAAAATAAGTTGGTTTACTAATTTAGATTTGTGTTCTAGATTTGGTCAAGCTGGTGGTTTTGTTAAGATTCGTGAAAGGTTTGAAGCTATTATGGGTTTTCAAAAGCCTGATCTCACCTCATCTGTGAACTCGGAGGAAAAGGTTTCTATGGAAATAACAGAAAAAGAAACTGAAGATAGCAAAACCACCAAAGCTGACGATTCTGAGAGTGCCCCAGTAATTTCAGAAACTAATGAGGTATGAATGGATCTTGTAGATTTTCGTCAGTAAGACAATGACATCTTTTTAACAGGACTTTTCTAAATGTCACATACTGTTTCAGCTACCAACTCCTTCTCGTAACGAACAACCTTCTTCTCTGGAGCAGTCTGCTAGTGGCGAGACACGCGTTGCGGTGGTGTGGCAGCTGCTCCGGCCTATCGGCGCTTGCCACGAGCATCTTACTCCGCATACTGTTATAACATACCTCCTCCCTGTTTTGGTGATTATTATTTTCCAATAATTTATTACTAATATTTCTTTAATCTTAGGCCCAGTTTCCACCAAGGCGGAGCGGAGCGGAGAAGTGTTTTGAATAACCAATCAGATTTAATTATTCACAAAACTCCTGTCTCCGAAATTCTATTAAAAAATTCGTAGACACAGAACGGAGGTCCGCTCCACTATGCTGTGCCTTGGTGGAAACCGGACCATATTCTCAGTGGATTATCAGCAAAAAAAAGTTGGATTGTAGTATTTGATGAATCGATGTACAATTATTATGCATTTTTAGGAATGCATCCCAACACTATTAGACAGTTTATCTGACGAGGAGTTGAAGAGGGAAGCCCGCGGTACTGAGAATAAGACTGATACGGTATCTTGTTTGATTCGCGCCTGCAAGCAGGTGGCTCTAAAGACTCCCCAACATCACAGTCTTGTAAAATGTAAGTAAATATTACATTCACCTTACATTTTTCAATAAAACACTATGATTGTGTACTAATAATGTATACCATATAAAATACTGAGATTTAAAGGGAACAATTTTGATTAAAGATTGGTTAAGGGTTTCATCCATGTTTAGTTATGTATTTGGAGTAAAGCCTGGTCCGTGAGCACGTAGAATCCCGTCCAATGACTCCAAGCTGCCCATCCTTGTCGCTCGCACGTAATTATGTTGCTGTCGCGCTCGCACACTCACTGCGGGCGCGCGTCGCACAGTCGCGACAGCAATACAATTACGCGCGAGCGATAAGGATGAGTAGCTTGGGGTCATTGGACGGGATTCTACGTGCTCACGGACCAGGCTTTAGATACTTAAGTAATAATGTTATATTTGTGACTGTCCTTAATCTTTTTAAGAAACATTGAGACAAATTGTGTATGATTTCTCTAGGTAAAAATTGCATGGTTGCACTGGATTTTAGATTGGAGTTGTTGCATTTGTATTCGTAATTGTTGTACTTGTTTAATACTAATTATTAAAAAAAAACGTTTTTGCATTCACAAACATGTTTATTTGTGACTTAATTTGATTAACTACTGTGTTTGTTTTGAATGTCAAATAAAATATGTTTGAACTTGAAAAATCTAAATGGTAGGTCGTCTAAACATTTACATTACCTACTTCACTGTATTGTTGCTTTATACACTTATTTTGTATTCCATGTTTTGGGGTTTGTGCTGTCTGTTCACCAACTTAGCTTGGGACTTTTGAATGTTAATTGTCGTAGTCTTAAATTAACACTAATAATAGATGCTAACTACTCATATTAATACTTATTGTAAAACCACATTGATGCACATGCAGAGTAGGCGCAAAGCAGGAATGCCGACGAGGAAATAACTTTTACGTATTTTTTTTTTCAATACAAGATGATTTAATATGAATGTGCTTAACACCTGTGTGTTGTTATATTACGTAGATGAGAAAATATATGAATGATTTTTTTGTACATCTAAGTTTGGCATTGTTTGTAACTGTCATTATGGTACTACGTCACGAAGTATTCAGGTGGACATCTCGGACGGCGCTCACGGCTCACGTGGAGCAGTTGCACTCCCTGTAGCTGCTTAGGGGCGCAGTCTTGGTCATTCCTCCCCTATGCTGCTACACGGTCTGTTACTGACTCCCATTCATCTCATCGCTGCACTTGTTACTGTGGGTCTCTTCACCTGTGCTGTTTGCATGACTGTCCTTATGCATCTCATTACTAAGGGCCACATTGCATATGGTGTTTACAAGATTTGGTGCCTATGAAACTACCTGTGTAGTCGTTAATACTAATTGTGATTGTTTTTTAAAACTCATGCTATTTTCCATAAATCATTATACAATTTTTTTCTTTCAGCTCTCGAGATGTTTAGGTTGAAAATGATATTGCGGTGGTTACAAATGTCATCATTCAATGGTAAAATGACTGCGTTAAATGAAATAAATCAACTTATCAGTTCAATCGCTCAGCAGCCAAAACCCGAATGGCTCACGGCTGCGGTCATGACAGTAAGTACGGCGAAAATACAATCAATCATCCTTTCACGTTCTTATTAGAAACATGATAATATTCGAATTTATTTCAGAATTGGATAAGAGAAAACAAGGTAGTAGATATAGTATTACGCGACTCACTGCATCAGCCTCAATATGTGGAGAAGTTGGAGAAAATGTTAAGGTTTATGATAAAAGAGAATTCGCTGACCAGAGACGATTTGGATGCTATTTGGAAGGCTCAGCACGGAAAGCATGAAGCGATTGTCAAAAACTTGCACGACTTGTTGGCGAAACTAGCTTGGGACTTCACTCCTGATCAACTGGATCACCTTTTTGACTGCTTTAAGGTATTCTTGAAAGTCCGTACTTTTTATCAGATTTCGAAAAGGTTTTTGTCTGTGTCTAACAGTGGTGTACTGTTTCAGGCAAGTTGGGCTACATCTAGCAAGAAGCAAAGCGACAAATTGTTAGAAGTGATAAGGAGACTTGCCGAAGACGATAAAGATGGTGTAATGGCAAACAAAGTAGGTGAAAATATCATATATAAATATAACCTCTAATAAAATGTTAAAGCGACAGGTTTATTCATTTGACTTTTATTTTTACACCAGGTACTGGTTCTCTTTTGGAATTTAGCTCATTCGGACGAAGTTTGCACGGAAATAATGGACGTTGCGCTGGCGAACCTTATCAAAATTTTAGACTACAGCTGCAGTCAAGATCGAGATGCACAGAAAACGCACTGGCTGGATAAGTAAGTCATTGACTAATTATTTATAGGTTCCCGCTCCACGGTGGATCGAAATGGCATTAAAGTGGACATAGGGATTTTTTTCGGAAAATCGAATTTTAAAAATTGCCAATCGATAGTCCTTTGCTCACTCATCACGACATGTCATATCACATTTTTCTCTAAACCTGATACTTTAGCTTAAAAAAAATAATTTGTGTTTTTTTTGTATGAAACGAGACATAAAGTGCTAATTTTCTCCGAAGACCTGCTAGATCGTGACTTGAAACAACATAGGTCGGTATAACTGCATTATTTATTAATATTCTAAGCTATTTCCAGCTGCTCCAAACCGCAACTTAGCCTGTTAAACGATTCCGAAAAAAATTAAAATTGACTCTTCTTGTAAATGTATTTTAGTTCTTTTTTTTAGAAAAAGATTCGATTACGGTACTAGAAAGTGATTTTTTCGTTAGGTGACATTGTTATCTATTCTCAGAATCTGTTAAACCNCAGTAAAACAACATATTATCATTTACGAAAATATGTATTGATCATCAATCATCATTATCGTCGTCATAATCAACTTGGATTATAAAATTGGCATCTTGTTAAATTGGTTATTTTATGAACCTAAGATTTTATCAACAAAAGGATTTTCATAAAAAAGGTTTGTAACCCATGGATTATTGGCCAGGGAGTCCAGTAATAGAAAAATAATTTCCTAATTTTTTTTGTAACTTCAAAAATATAATAATAAAAATTCAAATAACCATTTTGAAATTATCGGTACATTTTTAAGCCTTAGTTTTTCAAGTGAAACCTTAAATTCAAGAAAGGATTATTTTTTAATTTGTGAAAATGCTCTCCATTCATAATGGGAATGTTTCAATGTTGACAACACTTCTGAAATGTCAAAATTCCGTCGAATTAAAAATCAGAGTTTAGGATGCGCGTCGCGATAAGCTTATCGCACCATTTTATCGATTTTATGCGAAATGCCAATAAAATTTTATCGTCTAAAATCATCTATAAGATTTTATCATGGTGCGCATCTTAGCCCAGTTGGAACCGTAATTGGTTATCGGTTCGACGGGTGGAAAGCCTTTCCTCGTTGCGTTTTCCCACTGGTCGCCACTGAAGAGTCTTTCTTCTTCGGTTGTCAATTAATTTTATCATGCAAAGAAAAGGCCAACATCGTCCCCTCCATTTCATTACATTTGAACATACTCCACTTGTTACAGCGGAGGGTGACATCGACTGGGAAAACTGGATGCCTGATGGGAGATACCCACACGCTGGACAAGTTCACGAGAGATTGAGTTTTCTGAGGTTCCTTTTGAAGGATGGACAGCTGTGGTTATGCGCAGAACAGGTAACAAATAATGACGTCTTTTTACTTTTTATTTGTGAATGAATATTTTGAGATGAAAAATTTTTTATTCATTTTTTTATTCATAGGCAAAACAAATCTGGGTCTGTCTCGCAGAGCGACCTGCGCACCTAGGCGACCGCGAAGCGTGTTTTCGATGGTTCAGTAAGCTCATGGGAGAAGAACCCGACCTAGATCCCAATATTAACTTGCATTTTTTTCGAAGAAATATTATGACACTGCCTCCCAATTTACTCACACACGCGGGTATTAAATGCTTCGAAAGGTAAATTGACTTCTATTTTATGGCGCACATATTGAATTTCTCTGCCTTGCGTTTGCTAATAGTTTAAAAAGACAATTTTTATGTATTATAAGTTTATTTTCAGATTCTTTAAAGCTGTAAACTCCAAAGAAGGAAAATTGAAAATTAAACGACGAAGCTTTTTACTTAACGATGCTGATCTCATAGGATTAGATTATTTATGGAGGGTAAGTCCCTAATTAATAATAAATTATTATCAGTTGCTGATGTCGGTGTTTTCAACTTTGAGTCGTATCCTACCTAGCCAATATAATGCGTCATACATAATGTATACGTCATACATGGCACTTTAACCACTATACTGTAGAGTTGAGTCGTATGACATTTCAATTATTTTTTACTGCCAGACTGATACACTGGTAGCAGTTGTAAGGCGATTATCACACTGCACCGCGCTCCGCCGCGGTACGCGACAGATTTATTCATTATAACAAGTACCTCAGTTTGTATAGAAAACACGCGCGGCACAACACACTGACAACGCGTCTGCGCGCAGGATTCGTTATATGTCGCCACGCGGACCGCGGCGGAGCGCGGTGCAGTGTGATAATCGCCTAATAATTGAGTTGCCAAAAAAAATGTAAATGATTGCAACATTGTAACAATTTTTTTTTAAAATTGACGATTTGTTTGGCAAATAAGTTCTTCAGAAAAGTCACGGTAATACTATCTATACAGTATTCCAACTCGGCCATATTTTTGAAATAAATGTCTACAGCCCCGCGGTACGTCACGGTATGACAACATGCGATAGGGCTGCCCACCTACACAGTACCTACCCATTCTAATTACATCTGTCTACTTAGAATTTCTATCTAGTTTTGTGATTGTATTTTTTTTTTATTTAGACGAACAAAATGCTTTTTGAATGGAATAGGATAAAAATGCGTGTTGTTTTGTGTTAGTAGATTTAATTTAAAAAAATACAGGGTGAAAACGATAAGTGATCTCACCCGATTAATTCTAAACTATACAAGATATCGAAAAACTGGTTACTGATCCTGAAAGTGCTTTACGAGCTCTTTCAAACGATGCTAATAATAGGTTTCAGAATAATCTGTAACTATCCGAAAATTCAATGTTTCCAGCTTCCATACATTTGGTAAAGTTACATAATTTTAAAAACTACACAAGATATCGTAAAACTGGTTACTGTTCCTAAAAGTGCTTCACGAGCTCTTTCCAGCGGTATCAATATCAAGTTGCAGAATAAACTGGATCTATCCTAAAATTCAATGTTTCCGTCTTCTATACATTTTGTACTATCACAGTCATTGCACTCATCTCTTGATAATTTTATAGCAAGTAAAACCTAAAAGTAATGTATTTCACAAATAATTTTAAATAAGATGCAAGTTACAAGTATATTTAAAGGACTTTTTAAATTTATTATTTAACAAAAAATAAATTACACTTCTAATATTGTGTCATCGCCATACATTTAGTATGGAAGCTGGAAACATTGAATTTTGGGATAGTTCCAGTTTATTCTGTAACTTATTATTGGTACCGTTTGAAAGAGCTTGTGAAGCACTTTCAGGATCAGTAACCAGTTTTTCAATATCTTGTATAGTTTAGAAATAATCGAGTGAGATCACTTATCGTTTCCACCCTGTATACCAAAATAATTTTGAATCTACTAATCATAATGAGTACTTAACGACCTGTTACTTTAATTTCAGGCGGATGAAGTCGTGGGCAAAAGCTGGTTTAATACAATATAAATTTTTATTTCAAATCAAACTGACTGAAAATGACAATTTTTGACTGTTAATAACTTGTTTTTAACAAATTTGACCGTAAATGACGGTAGTCATATTCAACCTTAGTCATTTTCAACACTAGCTAGGCCATCGACGTCCGTTCGGCACATTCGCGACACCCCTAACCCTAACTTTTGGATTTCGACCGCGTCCCGAGATTTGAAATTCGAAGGAAAGCTCGCGTTTCGTCGGTTTATATGAAGTTATAATACTGTATGATATTATTACCGTGGAAAAGTTCAGAAATTTTTCAACATTTCCACTTAAGGGTCATTCCATCGTTTCGGGTGTTACGTTCGTACACACATATTCAACAATTTCATGTATTTTGAAATAGTATTTTAATAATGTTAGTGCCTTAATCTGTCCGTTTTTAGTTGTTTTATCTAAATAATAAAGTTTGTACAGCTTAGAATGTAGGATAACGAAAATATGAGTCGAAAAGTGTGCGTTTCGGGCGTTACGAGATTTTGCCTCTATGTTCTGACTGTTGCTGCATTTACTCGAAATTTAGCGAATTTTCTTAAGGAATCATACCTAAAACTTACAGGACTTCTAAAGTATGAAATTTACAAACCATGTAATATACAATCACTGTTACATAAAACGTTTTACTATTTTTTTATAATTTTTTTCTTTGTTTCGGGTGTTACAATGGTTCTGTTTCAGGTGTTACGAGTACGAAAATTCAACGCTTTTTATCGATAAAATCGGTGTTTTATTAGTCTCTAGGTACCTACTGCAAAATAAGGAGTACAACAAATAAACACAAATAGAGCGAATTCTGGTTTGAAATTACGAAGCACCTTTTTTTAAAAAATATACAAAGTTCAAGTTTAATTTTTCCTCAAAATATAGCTTTTTCTATTGTTTTTGGCTTAAAATAGCATTACTTTAATTATTAATTACGATATTTATTGGAAATGTCGAACATCGAGACTTTTTAGCAATACCTTAATTTTAGTGTTAAGTCAACATTTCAAAAAAGTCTTAAATAGATAAATATGACTCGTTTTCCGATGCCAGCGCTAGAGGGAGGTGGAGAGACCCTCACAGTAATACTTTTTGACTTCTCCAAGCAATATACACACATTATCGACATTAAATAAAAATGTGATACCCGAAACGTTTCGGGTGTTACAGTTTTAAATCAAGAAAAAAACTCACTTAATTAGTATCATGCTCAGATATTAGTTAGTATTTGAAATCATTACTACCATGACCTTACTTTTACCAAATATTGTTATCCTAATCCATGTGTAAGGTACAATAATAAAGCAAATACCTGTTTTTTTGTTTCGGGTGTTACATCGCCGAAGTAACAAGAAAACACACTTAAAACTTGATGATTATCAATTTTTTTGGGACTATGACGCTATCTACCAATACTATGATAAATACCCTCAAATCATATAGTGGCAAAACGGTTCACAGATTGATAGTTTTTTTTAAATCGAATTATTAATAATTAGAGAGAAAATGATCATTCAGACAGTTGACCTAAGTATAGACTTTGAAGATTAATAACTTAAAAATTACTTGTTTCTTTCAGATTTTTTTTGTTGCACTTTATAATTTGGAATGTTTACTTTCAAAATTCATCAGATTTAATGCGAAAAGTACATATTTAGTTTTTCAGCCTCGGTAACATTTGTCATGGAATGACCCTTAACCAAGTAAAGTCTTAATTAGGGATATTATGGATAGTGTCGGTTATGAATACGGTTACGGATATAGGAATAATATTATACCGGTTTCGGTTGCGGTTACGGATATTTTTTTTATTTCGGATATCCGAAAGTTTCGGTTACGGTTACGGATATCCATAACATGCCTGGTCTTAACCCTGTCAGGTAATAACGGAGTGCTCGGACGAGATCTCGGCGCGCGGCATCGAGCTGCTGCGCGAGGTGAGCACGTGCGTGGGCCCGCAGTTCTCGGCGGCGCAGCACCACGAGGCCTTCCTCACGCAGTGCTGCGCGCGCACGCAGCGCATACAGAAGGACATGGACCAGCAGGAGGGTGAGTGCGACACTGGTCGAGAATCCTTTAGTACTTTAGTGCATTAACTTCGCCTTATGTTCAAATTTATTTGACATTAAAGTTTTAAATAAATATGTACAGTCGCGGAATGAAAAGGTTCGTCACCTTAGTGTCGGTTTTCGCTTGCACTAGGTACTGTAAGAATCAAACCTGCCAACATAACCGTGCAAGAAACAGTGCTGCTAACATTGAAATAAATATTATGACGTTTGCTAACGAATAAGGTTTTGCTTGTTTATTTTTCTATTCCATCAGTGCAATAGTGTTAAAAAATGTAGTTTTTTTTTATTTAATAGAAATAATAATGGCAGGTTGAACCAACAAGAAGGTTTTAGTTTATCAATCATAATAATCTTCTTGTCAAGATAAATCGTCAAACAACTTTGATCTGAATAATTTTGAACTTCACTGACGAACAGTTAAAGATCATTTTCTCTAACTCGAGATTATTCTGTAACATAGTTTCAAAAGGTAATAATTATGTGCTCGCGATTCGTTGAAGGAATCAATTTGAAAACTGACGAACCTTTTCATTCCGTGACTGTACATGGGAGTTGAGTTGCGGTAGTGGCCACACCACGTTATTTCAAATACAACTATCGTTAAATTCGTTAACTTGAAACAAATTCAACGCGCGTTCACGACGGCGAAAATGGCGTAGGTTCACAAACAGGCTCTAAAGCTATGGGACTGCAATTTGTTGATTGTCTTGAGACTATTTTCAGTCTGAATCTTCAATTATGTTTACGTCAACAGATCTAACCCTTTTTTAGACTCGGTTTCCTCATAATCAAAACACACAATTGAAACGTACGACTCGTTGACGTGCTTCTTTCATTTCAGATATTACTGAAAGTTGTACAAGAATGTGCAGGGTTATACGTGCCATACAGGAATATGTAAACGAATGTGATAGACGATTTTCCGCCGAAAGACAAATCCTGCCGATTTATAGATCAGGGCGGGGAAGACAGTGCACTATTGTAGTCAGATTTAATTTTCAAACTGGCCAAAGACAAATTGACGACATTGAACTATTCTCACATTCAAATGAAACATTGCATTCGTTGCGTGCAGCAATCCAAAGAAGGTATGCAAAGTTCTAGTAATAACAGTTATTGTACCGTATTTGCATATTATTTAAATACTTTTTGTTTTGCAGACTCAAGTGTGCTACCGATAGTAATATAAAATTAGAGCTTTATGTAAATAAGTTAGAACTGTACGTAAATGGTGAGCTCTTAGATTCAAGTCACGACCGAAAAATACTTGCACAAATACCGCTTCGGGACAAAACTGTTATTGTTGCTAAGGTGAGTTGTGAATGTCTACATCTTGTATTGTTTAGTTTGTTAATTGAAATTGTCTAAATTGATGTTTAAATGCAGGTTTACGATGGGCAAGTGTGTGGCAGTGGAGGCTGCGGCTCCTCGAATGAGTCCAGCAGCGATTCAAGTACGTCATCGCCCCCTCTGCCCCCTACGCCTGAACACGCTTTACCAGGCGTCGTAAGTATTATTTATTTTTTAGATCACGATACATCCAAATTTTCAGCTTTGTATTTAGGTACAAATTGTCATAAATATTTTTTCATTTTATTAGTACAGTCACGGAATTAAAAGGTTCGTCAGTTTTCAAATTGATTCCTTCAACGAATCGCGAGCACATATTACCTTTTGAAACTATGTTACAGAATAATCTCGAGTTAGAGAAAATAATATTTAACTGTTCGTCAGTAAAGTTCAAAATTATTCAGATCAAAGTTGTTTGACGATTTATCTTGTCAAGATTATTATGATTGATAAACTAAAACCTTCTTGTTGGTTCAGCCTGCCATTATTATTTCTATTAAATAAAAAAAACTTGTCAATTGGTCAATGTCATCATTGCATTGCATTGATGGGATAGAAAAATAAACAAGCAAAACCTTATTCGTTAGCAAACGTCATATTTATTTAAATGTTAGCAGCACTGTTTCTTGCACTGTTATGTTGGCAGGTTTGACTCTTACAGTACCTAGTGCAAGCGAAAACCGACACTAAGGTGACGAACCTTTTCATTCCGCGACTGTACATGCAAGTCTTCTCCTTTAGATATTTCGGCAGCACTACATTAAATTAAATTTATTTTTGTTCTTCCAGCTTTTTGCACAGGGATCATGGTACATACCATTCATCTTGGAATTGGAACACATCGGCATTACCAAGGGCCATGCGCCTCTAACTGAGGCCGCACACCTTCTCACTCAGATTAGCCCGGCTCACAAGCAAACTGTAGGTATAGCATGTATGATTTAAATAACCTGATTTCTTAAGATATTCACGTGATCACAATGTTATAATTCTCTCTTCTTTATGTTAGGTTGAAAAGTTAACAGACGCTCTTTTATGCCGTGAAGATACAAAACTGAGGGATATGCTTTATGGACCAGCACCACCCACCGTAGCTTACAATATAGAGGTAAAGTATCGATAGTTTTATAATTTCACATTATATCCGTTTTCTCCACTTGTCCCGTCGCTCTTACTAAAATCTCGCTATGAAATACAGGGAAGGGTAGATTGGATATTCCTTTTGTTTCATATAAATCACCAGAACTCTACATTCATGAGGTTAATTATTTACAGGTGCTCTATAGCATGGTGATGCCGTCATCTGATACACGATTGGAACGGGGTCGTAACTTTCAGCTAGCTTGCGTCAAGAAAGCTCCTTTGTTAGTTCAGTGCTTGTCGGACAAGGAATTCCTTCAAGGTGCCGCGCCACATACAAGGAGGTAAAGTAACATTACCGAGTTATTCATATTTCTTGAGTTTATTAATTATGAAATACTTCAATCTTAACTCTCGATTTTTTTTCAGGGTTGGATACTTAGCGCTAGTTAGACTGGCCAAATTGGCGTTGTATACTCTGGGTCATCTTTTTGAAATACTCGCTCCAGATGGTTCAGATACTAACGTGGACAAAGACTTCAGGTACGAAAGAATACAATTTGTAGATAGTAGAGATAGTGGTGTTGTAAATAATCCCAATTACATTTTGGACCTCTCTTTGCAGAATGGATGTAACAATCCTAAGAGAGGCGCTGCAAACTGTACCTAATCACAGCTGTGAACTGATTGTTAAAGCTATTTCTGAAAAGCTTGCAAATGCTCTAGGTGAACAGGTGAATCATGTGAATATTTTTTTCTAACCGTTGCTTGCATTTGTTTCTTCTTAGCTTTGGTTATAACGCTTTAGTTATTCGTATTCAGGTGGTAACGAGTAGCGAGGAGAGTGATTCCGTGTCTTCTCTGGTGTGGTGGCGAGTGCCTACTACGGCTACTGTGCGAGCATTGTATGCGCTCGCGTTTTCTGTCGCACAGCCGGTTGAAATGATCGGCATCGTTCATCCAGATGACGTCACACGTAAGCTTCTCCTTTATTAAACTTCGTAGTTAACAATTTTTAGGTGATTCAGATGTCGAATTTGTGATTTTTTTTTCATTTGACAGTTGTTCGAGAGTGTATGGAGGTGGTGACGATATGCATGGCGTTGGGTGGCGGACATTTGGATTCTTTACTACACGAAACTTGGTGGCAAGACACTGCTCTGTACCTGATGATAGATTGCCCCAACCCTCAAGTTAGTACTTACTTAAAATATATGTCGTAGAATATAATGTCTTGCCTCTTCTGACCGCTCTCCGACATATACATCAACTATGCAAGAATGTGATATTTGGTTTTTGATAAAATTATCAACAAATAATCAATTGAACTTGCGAACTAGTGAAATCACAATCCTCTTTCCATACAAAGTCTACGGAAGAGCCGCATTTTGCCAGCTCATAAAGTTTACGTCCGTCAATTGACTGGCAGTGTCAACTACCCGTACTATCCGTTCGCTTTCGTGCTATACGTTTGTCGCTGGCGATATGACGTCACTCGAAGGGTAGCGTCTATAACTTTAACAAACAATATTTAAAATGTTTTTTGTTCATTATTATTGATAAAAATTGTGTATTTGCGTAAAATAAGACACATTGATTTTGCGTTTAATCGCGGTTGGGGGAGGGGACGCGCATTCCACGGACCGGCAAACTTATCGCGAACGGGTAGTAACAATAAAGCGCGACTTCTAAACGTTCCCATTGCTATAGGTGCGAGTGTCATCCGCCGAGCAGCTGCTAGCTATGTGCGCGTGGGGCGGCGGCGGCTGCGCGCGCGCGGCGCTCGCGGCGCTGGGCGGCGGCGCGGCGGGCGCGGGCGCGGCCGGGCCCAGGCTGCAACGTCACGCGACCCACGCGCAGCAGTTCCTGCAGCTGCTGTGCAGACTGGTGGCGCTGGCCGGCCCTACTGAGCGGACGCTGGACGATCTCGCCTATGAGGTATGTTAGTGACTTGGCCAAAAAGCTGGGTCCAATCGCGCGAGGCAATGAGGGCTATCGTTTTAGCGCTCACCAGTTAGCGCCACTGTAGAGTAAGGTCCTGTCACTTGCTAGTAGCGAAGACAGTGGCACCAACTGGTGAGCGCGAAAGTGGTAGGAGGACTATCGCATTTGCACTCATCAAGATGGCGCCACTGTAGAGTAAGGTCCTGTCAATCGCCAGGGGTGCCAACTGTTAAGTATAAAAACGATAGCCCTCATTAGACGCACGGCTCAAATAAGGACGTCAAATCGAACGTCCGGTTTGAACGTGGCTAATGAGCAGCGGCAACTGTTACAGTAGATATTGTTATTGAAGTAGCGCAATGACATGCTCTGTTCATTTTTTTACCTCTTGTGTCTTGTCTTTGTTTGTCCGAAAAAAGTGCGTCAGTGGAAAGTAAAAAATGCTAAAGCTCCATTTGGCCATATGGCGCATTTTTTCCTTTCCACTGACGTGGTAATTTTGATAGTTTATGCTGAAAAGTTTTTTATTTCTTTGCAGTAAAACGTCAGTTGCTGTTGATAACGTCATACAGTCATACTTCATTTATAGGACCCACCCACTTGTGGCCTTATGTCTTACTGAATTTTAGTCATCAAACATTTTGTTTTTTCGTCTATAGGTGGCATGGCTCCGCGCCATTCGAGCCAACCCGGAGAAACTAGACGACACTTTACTTGAGGGGCACCTCAACCTCACCAAAGAACTGTTCACGCACGTGCCAGCTCAAGTCAAGTTCCAGTACGGTGCGCACCCGGATCACAAGGACTCTGGGCTAATAAAGGTATGTGATACTTATAAAGTGGGTAATATTTCATCATATCACTTCAAAAGGGCATACAATACATGCAAAGACCTCTACGAGATTTGTCAACAACAAAAAAGAAAAAGAGATATTAGCATTTAGAGGACGGTTCTGGTAACAGCATTATATGTATTATTCGTCTTTCTCAGCATTTCAAAAAGCCGTCATAACTGGTTTTTAGCTCAGGAATAAGTGATAGCACAAATGATAACTCTGTAGGAAGTCACAACGGAGTTCCTGTGGCCATACTCGTGGGCGTGGTGCCGCATGGGCGCGTCGAGTTCCGGCGGCGGCGAGGAGTCGTCCGGCGAGCCGGCGGCGCCGCTGTGCCGCACGCCGGGCGCCGCCGCCGCCGCCGCCGACTTGCTGCTGGCTCTCGTGTATGGCTGCGCGCACAACATGGCGGCGCTTGCGCAACTGCTCGAACAGATGTTCTATAGCGGTCAGTCGCGTTTTTGTTATAGGGTACAAGTACAATGCATGTTTTATTTACTGTTGTTAACTAGACCTTGATGTGTGACTAGAACTTTAAGTAATAATAAAATTAAAGTGCTCATTTTCGCAAGAATACATTCCTGAGCATACTTGAAGTTCCACAGTTTGAAACCTAAGTGATGCGGATGCGGCATAATGCACAGTGCACGGCTCACTTCATGGCTTTAATTTTTCACAAATAGATTTTATTTTTCATGTTGCTGCTTAGTGACCAAAGGATTAAGCGATAAACGAGGGGACAGTAGAGTACCTAACTGAATAATATTTTTATCGCTACATTTCCATCGTCTTATAATTTATTGAAAAATCTGCCATGTGTAGGGGAGAAAATAAGTAATAGTTGTGCAATAATGTCTCTGCCTACCGCAGACAAGAGCATGCCACTATCGGAATGGGACTACATGCCGTGCGTGGGCCCGCGGCCGCCGGCGGGGCTGGTGGGGCTGAAGAACGCCGGCGCCACCTGCTACATGAACTCCGTTCTGCAGCAGCTCTACTGCGTGCGCGCCGTGCGCGACGCGCTGCTCGCCGTGCAAGGTACGCCATATCGCTCTTATTCCCAGAAGAATAAGAGCTACTTTTGCTGTGTAACTGTTGTACAATCAACAGCAAAAGGCGACAAATCGAATGTTTAGACCGGCTTTATTTCCTGAAGAATAAGAAACAATTTTGTCATGTAACTGTTTTTACGCCGCAGCTGTACGACCGTAGCTGTGGGAGCTACGGTCGTACAGCTAACTGTAACTGTTTTTACGCCGCAGCTGTACGACCGTAGCTCCCAACCTTTCTTGATTGGGAAACTTTGCAACTCAGATACGAAAACTGTTAACTATAATGCTGTTAATACGCTGTCATTACGTATGTAAGAAACGTTATGCTACAGGGTTGCGAAGTTGATGTATTTTCAAGAATTTAATTACCGTTATTTTTCAACAGGTGCTGCGACTGACCTAACTGAAGATTTCTCTGGTGAAAGCCCACATCACACTATTGTTGAAAATAATGCAGAGGTGCCTATTTGCAAATTTGCTAAATTGATACATTTCGTTCTCGATCACTCTAGATACTAAAACAAAAGTTATATTGCAGGGAAATGCTGACTACAACATCACAATCTTGAAACAAGTTCAAGCTATATTTGCACACTTACACTACAGTAAACTTCAGTATTACGTTCCCAGAGGATTGTGGGCGCATTTTAGGTAAATGAATTCAATTACTAAATAAACAATGTAATAAAATGTTATTAAAAAAAAATATTCAATGAAGATCTTGTTTTTAGGCTTCAAGGTGAACCAGTCAATTTACGCGAGCAGCAGGATGCAGTTGAGTTTTTTATGTCACTGGTAGAGTCTTTAGATGAGGCTCTCAAGTCCTTGGGTCAGGAACAACTTATGGCCAAAACAATGGGCGGCACATACTCTGACCAAAAAATATGTAAAGGATGTCCACACAGGTATGTTATACATAGATATTAGAGATCTCATAAAATTCTAGCAACTAGACTGCACTATAAAGTTAAAAGGTGTTCGGTTAATGGGTTATCATATTTTTTAGGTATTGCAAGGAAGAGCCTTTCAGTGTAGTGTCATTGGACATTAGAAACATGTCCCGACTGCAAGAATCTCTTGAAGCATACGTAAGAGGAGAGCTATTAGAAGGGGCTGATGCCTACCACTGTGATAAGTGCAATAAAAAGGTATGCATACATTGAAATAGAATATTATATTTTTTGCAACTTTGACTTTTCAGCCTTTGTTACCTATTATTCTCCTTCTTTTCAGGTCGTGACAGTAAAACGCTTATGTCTGAACAAACTACCTCCAGTATTAGTTATACAGTTGAAAAGGTTCGAATACGACTTTGAAAAAGTGTGTGCAATAAAATTTAATGACTACTTCGAGTTCCCTCGGGAACTTGACGTCGAGCCCTATACTGGTAAGTGTTCGTAAATCGTTATACTTAATTATTTCTATGAACCATATCGTACTGCACCCGCACATCAGTTTATCGACCGACTGTTTTTTTTTTAAATAGACCACTTTACTTTAGCTTTGATATGCCGTCATTTGAACAACACTACGATTCTTGAAACTAGCGACAATCGCGCGCCAACTTGCGAATTGAGATGTATTCAAAATTTGCTACTATTTCAGCGTGGGGCTTAGCGCGGGCCGAGGGCGACGAGACGCTGTGGGAGGGAGGAGAAGAAAAGACGCCCGAGACTCACTACCAGCTCAGCGGAATCGTCGTGCACTCGGGACAAGCCTCCGGCGGACATTACTACTCATACGTCTTGCTGAGGTACATATTTCATAGTCGTTTGTATTTTAAAATCTTTGATGGAAATAGTCAACGTTACGGCTTTTTCAACTTGCATAGGTTTACCAAACTGTCTTTATAGTTAAGTTTTGCATTCAATTGTTACTTTTTACGTATTGTTACCGGAAGCATCAGCCCTGGAGCAAGTTTGAAAGTTACACTAAAATGTCGCACGCTATCAAAAACTTCCACGAATAGAATTCAAGATTCATGATGTTTTAATCTTAATTTGTCGAGGTCTTGGGCTGGCGTTGGTTCTAATGTTATATTCTTACCTTAGCTTGTAAATGGACTTTTCAATAAATTGTTATGAATGGATAAAAGGGATAACGGTAGCGAGACCGGGCGCTGGGTGAAGCTGGACGACGGCGACGTATCCGAGTGCGTGATGCACGACGACGAGGAGATGAAGGCGCAGTGCTTCGGCGGCGAGTACATGGGTGAGGTGAGAGAATCGATCCGCAACCGATGTTATTTCTCATTTTTAACGCCCTATCTATCAAAGAACAGAAGTGAAATAATCGATATTGATGTTCATCTACTCTTTGGTCTCTGAAAACGATTTCAATATCTGCGGATTGCTAGGAAGTCAACACTTATACCTTGTTAGTTTATCTAATACTATGAAGAATGTTTTGGACTGACCCTTGAGTTTCATAAGACACATGCCATTGAATCGAACTTTCAGTTAGCTGCATGCTATTTACGCGTGAAGTGGTAATTTCTAATAACGTTCTAGGTGTTCGATCCGATGCTAAAGAGGGTACTGTACAAGCGCCAAAAAAGATGGTGGAATGCCTACATGCTGTTCTACACGAGAAAAGATACGATAGAAACCTCTAGTCTTGAACAATCTATGAAAAATTTGACCTTAAAGTAAGTGTAACTTGTAAATTAAAATAAATATTTGTATTTCTTTAGACCAGCACTAACTGTGCTTATGTTTCCAGGGAAAGTGCCATACCCAGACCTATCTGGCTTTCAGTTCGTCGTGGAAATATAGCTTTTTCACATAATCAAGATCAATTTAGCCTGGAACATTTTAATTTTATGAAGAAACTCTGTTGTATGAGACTTCAAGTGCTGCCTGGTTCACAGAGCGCTGTTTGGGTAAGATGCGCTTTTGTTTTATCACAGAAGTGTCTGTGTAGATACAATGTTATTTGTTAGAATAGTTTATTCATGTATTGCTAACATTTTCAGAGTAAAGAGCATGAAGAAATGTCAATGTTGTCTGTGCAATTAGCAACAAAGTTTTTATTCCAAGTTGGTTTTCATACAAAGAAGACGCTGCGAGGACCTGCGGCTGATTGGTAATTTTCATATAGTTGGATTGTTTTTGAATTGTTTATCATTGAATATTTTGTATTAATATTTTCCTCTTCTTTCAGGCATGATATTCTATGTCAGCATCTCAGGTGCTCACAGGCTGTTAGAGCGTGGTTTGCAACTGATCTCTTCAAACACCCACACAGGTACTTATCTATTAAATTGTTTTTCGTTATTTCTGTCTTGCACGTGTTCGATTGTTTTTTTTATAATTTTATCGTTTGATGTTGTTTCAGATTGTGTGACTATTTGCTATCGTGTCCTTCCGCCGAAGTACGATTAGTTTTCATGAAAATCATCGTTTTCTTAGCTCACTTTTCTGTCAAAGATTCACCAGGTAAGTCTTATTTTAATTTTGTCTCATTTATCTCAATTTATGTTCATGTTTTCTCTTCTTCTTTTAATTTAGTACAATTATTTTTAAAAATCAACTAGCTGAAAACACGCATCTCTGATGTCATAGCTTGTTTTTGCGATAAAAAATTTAGAAGAGTATTATATCAATTGACTGGTAAAGCCTGGTTCTTGAGCACGTAGAATTTTGTCCAATGACCCCAAGCTACATATCCTTATCGCTCGCGCGTAATTATATTGCTGTCGCGACTGTGCGACGCGCGCCCGCAGTGAGTGTGCGAGCGCGACAGCAACATAATGGATAAGGATGGGTAGCTTGGGGTTATTGGACAAAATTCTACGTGCTCACGGACCAGGCTTTAGTGTAAACTGACTTAAACAATATTATGGTAATAACTAAATATCGACTGCTAAGAATTGGCGCTTTCAATCGTCGCGTTATTGTAGAAGTGTGTATCGTATAAGCAATCGTACGCTTCCTCTATCAGTGGCGAGCGGCTACGGGTCGTGGTGCGCGCGCGAGGAGGCGTCGTCGCTGTCGGACCAGCTGCTGTGCTGCGCGCGCGCGCTGGCCGACCCGCCGTACGCGGACGCGCACGCGCTGCGCCACCTGCCGCTGCTGTTCAACCTGTTCCACACCTACGCGCTGCTGGGCCTGCACGAGCGCCACCAGCTGCTGCGGGTGAGTGTCGTCACCAACCTGTTCCACACCTACGCGCTGCTGGGCCTGCACGAGCGCCACCAGCTGCTGCGGGTGAGTGACGTCACCAACCTGTTCCACACATACGCGCTGCTGGGCCTGCACGAGCGCCACCAGCTGCTGCGGGTGAGTGACGTCACCACGGGGCGTGAGGAGAATAGCGCGACGCCACTGCGTAGATCGTTCGTCAGCCGCTCAGCGTTGGCGTCACGACGACGCTAAGGCCGTGTCCAGATGACGCGTTTTAGATCGCGCGACTGAGATTCTTAGGCGGAACGTGCGACTGCATGTGAATAGAATGTATGAACATCTAAAGCCCGGTCCGTGAGCACGTAGAATTTTGTCCAATGACCCCTAGCTACCCATCCTTATCGCTCGCGCGTAATTATATTGCTGTCGCGACTGTGCGACGGGCGCCCGCAGTGAGTGTGCGAACGCGATAGCAACATAATTACGCGCGAGCGATAAGGATAGGTAACTTGGGGTCATTGGACAAAATTCTACGTGCTCGCAGACCAGACTAGTACCTCACATTCGCGCAATTCGAAACTCGCGAGTAAAAACGCGTCATCTGGACAGGCTCTAAGCGAGCGCGGCTGCATTGCCTCGACGCTGCGCAGGCGCTGGCAAGATGACGACAAAAGTGTGGGGGGCGAGCAAAATTGGCAGTGGTCATATTCCACTCTTCTGGAACCACACGAATAACTTGCATACGTATTATTTCTTTACATAGAATCCAATATTTAGTCAATAGTCAATATTATTATCTTTATTGCATTCCATGTTGTACATAGTAATTTCTTTTTTACATAGTCTTTATTTTGTTCCAGTTACGGATATTGGATGTTGTGCTGAGCGTGTGTATGGATGACGCATCTCTATCTCTCGTAAAGTACCAATATCCGGAATCGGCGAAAATACATCAGGTTTGGACAATATCATTTAACTGTATTTAGAATAGAATATAACTTGATTTCCTTATTCAAAAACATAGTACATACCAGTGCAATAGGAAATTAAATATAATTTAGTGGGAAGCACCGATTAGATGCTCAATTACCAGTATAAACTTGCTGAAAGAGCTTTTGACCAATAACTTAGTGAACTTTTGTGGAGTACAAGTGTTATCTCTCTCAGGTGGTGTACGTGTTAGCGCGTTGCTGCGACGTAAGCGGTCGCTGCCAGTCGGCGGGCGCGGCGGAGGGCGCGCTACCGCTGCCCAACCCGTACGCCGACCCGCCGCCTTCCGGCAGTGCCGTGCAGCGCCCGCCGCTGTCTCCCGTCGCTGCCGACATACTCTACAATAGAACTGGGTAATTATACGCGCCAATTGATTTAGTGCTGGCAAGGTATTGTGACGTCAGCGGTCGCTGCCAGTCGGCGGGCGCGGCGGAGGGCGCGCTACCGCTGCCCAACCCGTACGCCGACCCGCCGCCTTCCGGCAGTGCCGTGCAGCGCCCGCCGCTGTCGACATACTCTACAATAGAACTGGGTAACTATTCTTACCAATTGATGTTAGCTTTTCAGGCTTTAGGGCCTTAATGGCCCGGTGGTGACCACCAAAGCGGAGAGGAGATATGCAGCGAAGCAGATTATTTTCAAAGCGGAAAGAAGAGGAGAAAAGATGAGATGTTCGTAGCTTTCAGCTGTCAGGTTTTAAATCATATGACGCTTTAGGGTGAGCGATACACGATGAGAAAGCAGCGCGCGAGTTTCTAATATTTCGAATCCTTCGGCCGCCTGACACATCTCCGCTCCTCTCGGCTAGATACATTTCCACTGAAGCATGGTAGACAGCAAATGCAGAACGAATTGATTAGTTATTTAAAATACATGTCTTCTCTCCTATTTGCCTTGATGGAAACCGGGCTTTAAAGTCACATTAATAGGAAAGTTCTCATATGATCCTCTCTTCCAGCACGTACATGAAGAAGCTGACCGAAGAGTGCTGCGGCTGCGAGGAGGGCATCCGCCTCGTGCAGTTCCTGTGCTGGGAGCACGCGGAGTGGTCGCGCGTGGCGCTGGCCGAGCTGCTGTGGCAGATGGCCTACGCCTATTGCCATGAACTGCGCCGCCACGCCGACGCGCTCTCCGCCACGCTGCTCATGGAGGACAGCTGGCAGCACCACCGCATCCACAACGTCATCAAGGTGAGCCCGAGGCGACCGGCACCTACCTAGCTGCTGTGGCAGATGGCCTACGCCTACTGCCACGAGCTGCGCCGCCACGCCGACGCGCTCTCCGCCACGCTGCTCATGGAAGACAGCTGGCAGCACCACCGCATCCACAACGTCATCAAGGTGAGCCCGAGGCGACCGGCACCTACCTAGCTGCTGTGGCAGATGGCCTACGCCTACTGCCACGAGCTGCGCCGCCACGCCGACGCGCTCTCCGCCACGCTGCTCATGGAAGACAGCTGGCAGCACCACCGCATCCACAACGTCATCAAGGTGAGATAGGGACGAATGGATTTGTCGGCGTGATGCTACTCGCGTGTGAAGGATAGATGGCATCTCGTCACTATGTTATCAAACCTTTTTTATAGGTTCAACATAGGTTAAATGCTCTGGCGTGCCACATTCACACTTCGAATTATGTATTTAAATCCAAGGTCCCTTTTTCTGAAATACATTTAAAGGTAGCCTTTCGAACTAAGCGTCACAGACGCAGCGTCTTTAGCTTTGGTCTTGTGTCACCTAGCCTAGGTAGCCTTTCGAAGCGAGTTAGTGACGCGGCGTTGGTGGCACAAGACCAAAGCTAAAGACGTTGCGTCTGTGACGCTTAGTTCGAAAGGTTACCTTTACACAAGCATTTCTTGCAATCATGCCTTTATTTCGTTTATCTTCGTTTAATGGTTTATACGCTGCTTTCTTTGGAGGTCTTTTCTTGACGTTACCGTAGCTTCGTCATCCACAGATCATTTTAACTCCAAGACTTTATCTTTACAAACACAATCAGCGTGGATAGGTGCTAATGAGCTGTCATTCGTTTCGCAGGGCGTGTCAGACGAACGGCCAGGGCTACTGGAGACGGCGGCGCGCGCGCGCGGGCACTACCAGAAGCGCGCGTACGCGTGCGTCAAGCTGCTGGTGGGCGTCATGGGCCGCGCGCCCGCCGCCGTGCGCGCCGTGCACGCGCAGCCCGAGGCGCGCCGGCGCTGGCGGCAGCTGCTCGCCTGGCTGCAGGACGAGCTCGACCGCGTGAGTACAGCCTCCACTAACCACCTCTGTGGTCTAATGTCGGCCGTTTGGTGTAGTGGTCCAGAACGGACTACTATGCCGAGAGGTCCCGGGTTCGATTCCCGGCCGGGCAGAAATTGAAATGATGAATTTTAATTTCTGTGACGGGTCTGGGTGTTTTCTATGTATAATATGTATGTATTTACAAAAAAAAAGTATTTAAGTATGTTTATCCCGTCGTCTAGTACCCATAGTACAAGCTTTGCTTAGTTTGGGACTAGAGGCGCAGTGTAAAATGTCCAAGGATATTTATTTATTTATTTATTAAAGTTCGATTCCCAGTGGGGGCAGATTTTTCTGTTCGGTTCGGTTGGTGGTAGGTCTTGTTCTGAGTCCGCCTGGCTAGCTACCACCGTCTTACCTGAGTCTGTCGCCATAACAACAATGTTAACAGCATTGTTGTGATCCGGCAGTTAGAGGTGAGATAGCCAGTTCCTCCGTGGTTGAGGATTCCGGGCGAAGTACGCTTCCATCTTCGGCCTGATCATCACTTATGCCATCAGGTGAGATACAGGCCAAGAGCTTTCTCGTTGAGGATAAGAAAATAAATAATAAACTAGTCCTGCATTAAGCGAGCCGAATGCCGAGCAGGGAACGAACGAATGCTTGAGGCAAACACAGATAGTGATGTCCCGTGTTCCCGGCTCAAATGGCTATCGAGGGCAACGTCAGGTTTTTAGTGGCCATGCCCTTCTGGCAGGGAGAACCTCACATAACCCACCAGCTGCCCCCGCGGCTGGTGGGTATACAAGTCAATGTATTTTCCTGACGAAAAAAAATACAGCCTTGACTAGAAAGTCAAGTCGTCAACCCTGAACCGCAGACGAATGTCCAATTTTAGAACAATGACTCGTGGCTTCTTTTCAATGGCCCCCGAGGAACATAGTCGGGTTTTAGTTAGTAGGCCCCGCCCCCTTAATTCAATGACCGTCTCCGTCGGCCAGTGGGTATGCAGGATGCACAAAGCATTTCGTGACGGAAATAAAATCAGATCAACCCTCACTGACCCCACCGTCTAACCTGAGTCATTCTTGTGTGGTTTTATACAGTCTGTAGCATATCAAACTTAACACTACAGCACTTTATGTAGTCGTGATTTTAAGCTCTTGGCCACGAGCTTTACCCGAAATCCTCAACCACAGAAAAACTGGCTATCATACCTCCAACTGCCAGAACACAATAACTTTGTCAATAGGCGCTACTTAGCACCAAAAGTATGCTGTCGACTTTACCTTTGTTGCACTCTGAACTTTTTGACGTTTTTTGTCTGTAAATGGGGTAATTAATGCGTGACATTTGTTTCAGAAGTATGGGCCGGGAGGTTACGGATCATACGGCACGTGGTCTCCGCCAGGCACATCCAACGAAACTTCCAGCGGATATTTCCTGGAGCGCAGCAATTCCGCGCGAAAAACACTCGAAAAGTGAGTATCGTCTTCAGTTGCATTTTAAATTTTATTATTTTGTTATCTCAAAGATAACTACCATCTCGGTCAGTTGAAATAAAATACATTTATAATCGGATAAATGAAACCAAGTGCAATCTTGTACTGCAGTAGACATTTTCTATACAGGGTGAATTTGCAATCAGTGTCCAAATTTTTAGGAGCGCTGTTTCAAAATTGTAACACATAGATAATTTACTTTGTTAATAGAAAAACGTACACACAAGTAACTGCAAAGCATAATAGACATAATGGTGCGCGAAAATAAGCCCAAACCTTTAAAACTTAAGATTCTCACCCGCGAATTAGATTTTCAATTTTTTTTACGAAAAGTACCACGATTTAAAGTAATTAAGATAAAGTAGTGTTGTTAAATTGTGTTACAAAATCACCCTGTACATCGATTGATTTTTCGCAAAGGGCGTACCAACTGTGCCCCGAGGAGGAGGACGAGGACGAGGAGCCGCGCGACGCGCCCGAGAGCTCCGCCGCCGACGCGGCCGAGAGCGGCGACGCCGACGCCGGCGCCGAACCCGCCTCGCCCGACGACGCCGACAGCGCCGACGACGACGACGCGCCCAGCGACGAGGACGCGCCGCGCCTGCGCGCCCGCGAGCACCGCCGCACGCGCCGCATGCGCCCCACGCGCCGCCGCGCCGCGCCGCACTCGCAGCACTGAGCGGAAGGAGGTACGACCCGCGAGATCGCCGACGATCGTGCCGCGTGAATAGTTTTCGTAGGCTGAGTGTAAAGACACGTTTGCCGAACTTTCGGTCGTGTGAGAGCCTTTTCACCGATAATCTCGGAGATTTATTTGTATAACACGGGACGAGACCCTCTATAAGGAGCGTGAACTAGTAACGTGCCTATACAGGACCTTTAACACTGGTCCTTCGAGCCGGATTATACCCGATGTCATTGGAAGACAAATCGTTAATGTGAAATAGCTCTTAAAATGTCGCACGCCGAATAAACTAATACGCAGCGAAAATTGAAGGATCATTATTACGCCAAATGTCACGTGAATTCAGCCGAACAGGTCACTTATAAACACCTGCGTATTTAGCCATTTGTCAGTAAATGTGTCGCTATAATGACGTGGGAACAAAACATCGTGAGGGTACCAAATGTCGCTTGGACTCCTTGTTGTAAGTCGTTTTGCAAAGAACAGGTTCAGTTTATATAAAACATACTGCCAGTTTCCACTCAGTGCGATATTTCAAGTCAAGTGTTGACCACGCGACATTTTGGAGTCGCTCCTGGTGACACATTTCTAGATGCCCCAAGCACACCTTTTATAAGCTTAGATGTTTAGGGAAAACCACGGCGGGTGATGTGCGACATATTTTATTTATAGTAATTTAATGTAAATGCTTCTAAATAAAATTAATGCTTACTATACTTAAGTTAATTAAAGGCATTTACTTTAAAATTACTGTAAATGTGGAAACTCATTGGGTTAGAGGGTATCCCGTCTATAGCGTGTCATACAGCTATCTCTTCGAGGAGGCGATATTTAAATAAACATAATATAGCCTATAACCATATCGCATCGCTTCAGAACTTAACCGGATTTAGTGATTCGGTTAATGTTATCCGAGAGATAGACTCTCAAAATATATGATTATATTATTTGTTTACGTAAAATTATTTTGTACGCACGACAGAATGAGAGTGTTGTTAGGTGCTGTTGTAACGTTGCGCTGATAGGCGATATCGTTGGTTATCATTGGGAGTGTACGTAACGTGTCGGGATCGATAGTCGGGCGAAGTTTGTTCCGCTGTGATCGGCGGAGCGGGACGGAGGCCCGCAGGCCGGGCCGCGCTTAGCCGTATTTTGTTCTGTGATGTTAGCGATACGTGGCGTGTCCGCGCTTGGGCCGACCGGCTCTTCGCTGGCCCGCACGTTCGGTTATTTATTAACTTAATGTTCCGCTTTAAAAGTACCATATTATTTATTTTTTCTAATTAAGACCTTGTTCATACTTCGCGTTTGTAATTTCGTTTGTCGTTTTCGCGTATGTTCGCCGTTTCGTTGCTAGGAATCGTCCTTCGGTCGCGATGCACCGTGTTCGAGTCTCACTCGATTCGAATTAGTTGTAACGCGGCGCATCATACTTCGCTGGATCAAACTTTGTCGTTACTGTTGAATTCATTCGCTATGCTTTTTAGTAGTACACATTAGTTAGCGATAGCTAATGGATTTAAATGTTTATTATAATCCTTATCCGTCTCGCATTGACGTTTATTATAAGTACGAATGTAAGGACTAGTCGCGCTCTAACTTATACAAAAATCTTTGTTACAAGTTACAATGCTGTTATGTATATCAATCACTGTATATAAATTTTGGAAAACTACCGACACAACAACATTAATAATTGATGTAATACTTCCGCTATAAAAATGCGAAATTATATTACAGGTTATTTCATTAGAACCGACACAAATGGATTTAATGAATAGAATGTTGTAAATTATGTTTCTGTTCAAATAAATTCATTCATGATAGTTCTAATGAAACTATGCTGTGTTTTATAGGCAGTTTAATGAAATAGCTTTTACTTTTAATGTTTGTAAACTACAGGGATCGAGTAATAATACTAGAACACTTTTTGCTAGATAAGTGCATTTCGACACAGTTGATAATGTTTAATTCACTTAATATCGATATGCAAGTCCATGCGAACCAGTGACGATTGTTAAAATTTTTACTATAGAAACTAATAATGCTAAGTGGGTGCTATCTGGACGTTGTCATTGTGCCGCTTTTGATCAATCATTTAATGATACCACGTCAAGCTCGTTAGTTTCTTTTAAAGGTCTTTTTAACACTTGAGATCCGATTCGCCGTTGACAAAATTATACAATACAGGTTGTCTCAATCGTTTTGAAAGGTTTCAAACAGTAAATTTAATGAGATACATTATGATTTTTTGTCAGGTCAAGAAAACGGATTGCGGCTTAGTATTTTTCTAGTTGAAATAAATACTATTTTAAATGATCTAGTACCTATTTGGATTAACCTATGTCAAGAAAAAAATAACATGATTTTCATGAAATTTAATTTCTTAAACTACACTTGCACCTCCCGCAACAAGCACTTTTCAAACGTATGCATCCCCACTTCCCACCAACATTGGTACCATTTAAAAGCCTAGTTCTAAACTTCATTTCATTAAAGGAAAGGTCAGAGTCTCTTCTTAGAGCGACAGGTAGTTACGATTGAGCCTACTTTTATGGCTATAAAACTGTTAAATTGGGATTGATCGCTATCCATCTGTTAAAGAGGACACGTGAGATCATTATTTGGTTTTATAACCACAAAAATTGGTCTACTTGGTCCCAGAGGTGAGCCCCAAGTGAGGCCTTTTTTCAAGTCACATACTTGTTAAATGTTTATAAAAAAATTAAACGTGTTTTTCTTTAAGTTTATTTATTGGGTTTTCAAATAACGCCAATATTGTTGGGGCATCATGATTGTGTCAGAAGAAAATCTTTGAAGTTCGCGTCGCGGGAGGTGCGGTTTATTTGATGCCGAGTGTATTTTAAAAATTAAGTAGGTACCTATTAATTTTTATGCTATTATTTATGTATAGGCTTTTTGGGACATCCTGTATAGCGAGTTATTCTTATATGAATGCGATTATTAGAAATTCTAAAGATCCACTGTAGAATATCCAAACTCAGGATATTTTAAAGTAAAAGAAGAGACCTATTATGAATTATTGTATCTTGCATTTATGTATAACAATATAATTAGAATGAAAATATTGTTTAGAGGAACGAATGATCATAGATTTGTTTACTTAGTTATATTATATTTCCAATTAGTTTATCAATGTTAGTCTATTTCTATTCATCAAATACGGTGCAATTTAGAAGTCGTTTTAAGAAGACGGCAACGCTTGATGAAATAATAATATGTGCCAGCCAAAATACCAATTATCATGGTCTGGTTCAGTGAACTTCAGTGATAAAGATCATCCGTAGCACACAACATCCTCGTGCTCTTGGGCACCAGACAACAGATTGTATTTATAATAACTACCATTGTTACTCTAAATGGACTTTGACATAATAATGATTCGTGTTAATTTTGTTAAATGTTTGTTTTGTATTTTATCAGTCATCGGTACACGATTTCAAAGCAATTACTAACGACAGTATTAAGTAAGATATTTGCATTATAGATATAATATTAATTTGAAAGATTATAATAATACAAATTATGATAAAAGAACTTGTGTAGAAATGACGTATGCATTGTCAGTTATGTAGCTCCATACATTTATTATGCCTTATAGTACTGTAGTAATTATGTATCATGCAAGATGACAAACTTAAAACCTTTCATATTTAACGTAACTATCAAATTAGAAAAACTCGTAGAAAAGTTAGCTGAATCTGCTAATAATCCTGCTTCGCGCTAATGCTAAAATAAGCAGTTCAGGAGCTCATCACAAATTGACTGTACATAGTATAAAATACGATATGGCCAGAGAACAAAATTGGCCTAAAACTGACTAAGCATAACAACTTTATTAATATTTCGGCTTATTTCGATAGATGTACTAACATAATGATCTTAGTTTTTAATTCATGAAAATGTAGATATAGGTATTAAAGACTAGTCTAACAGGAAAATGTTGCCACTATGTCAATATTCTGCTTTGTAATATATGTTATTTATTTTTATATGTCTTAATTAATGGTTGTAAGATATTTTCCTTCTTTCTAGTAGATCGTTGTATCATCCAGGCTATCAGGTGATGCACTGTAGAGTTGTACGTGAAATTACTTACGTGGCAGATCTAGTAAAGTGAAACACTGTCATTTAGTTATGCATTTCACTATTTACATACTCGTTGAGTACTTTTCTCCTTTACTATTTCTTGTAGCACTAAAATAATACTAAATACTGGTCGCGTCGACCTTGTGCCTTATTTTAATTTTATTTGCTCAATTTGCTTGCTCCTGATAGTCTGCATATTGATCTTTGACAAATTTTAATTTTATCAAGTTCAAGAATTTTATATAGGCTTCATAAACGTAGAAAGTTTTTGTCACTTGGATTTTAATGTACCAAAAGTATGTGATGTATGCTTGGAAGAAACAGGATAGTGAACAATTTGAATTATTATTGACTGCTAATTACATAATGCTAACTTTGTTACCAAAGATGAAGTTATAGGATGAGGGATGCGTGGTGACCCTTTTTCTTAGTAGCTTATTAGTAATTGAAAATGTTTTGTATCTTTTGTAAAATGCAAACGTTCAATATTCTGTTGAGTTTAAATGTGATTGAACTTAGGCTTAGATAGGAGGAATAGCAATGGGGTGTAAGAAAAAAACTAATATTTATCAAATGTAATATGGGAAGTCATCACAAGTCTGCATTCAATTTTGTGGAAAAAAATGATTGAGTTAATACATTCTCAATCACATTCATATTTTTAAAGTATCACACTTGAAAGTAAATAAAGATGAAAAGGTCCCTATAATAAAAATTAGGATGTGGTTACAGTAATTACCAGTTTTAAATACATTATTCAATTTGTAATAAAATACCATTGATATGATCAGTCAGTGTTCAGAAAAACTGCATGCAAGTTTCATCTTAAAGTGTAAAATGTCTTAATAACAAATAAATTATTATAAGGTCAGTTGAGTTTTGTATAACATTTCTATGGCAAATATATATACGAATGGCATTTGACATTATACAAGAATGCTCACGAAATAGCATTCGTACAGATATTATAATATTAAATCAAGAAATAAATTCGAAAATTTTATTTAATGTGTTTTATTTTTAAATGATCAAACGNAATAATTAGATTAGATGTAGCTCATAACTTATTACCCCAGGAATATGTACTTCGAAAGTTGAGGCGAACACTACTCACACTTGTTGTGCGTTTTTTAGAATAGAACACACAAGTTCAAAATTGAATACACTAGCTTCGTTGCTCTTGTTGTGTGTTTACTATTGTTGCTATCGAGACAGCAAGCACTAGTCAGTCAGACTTAGCAAGGCGTTGGCGCAGACTGCGTATAAAAAAATACAAATCTTTTGCTTAACTTGATCATCTTGATTTTGACTCGTTGCGAGTTTACATATTATTTAATATTTATCATATTTATTTGCACACTAAGCGTACATCTATACTTCTATACTATTATATTATAAATGCGAAAGTAACTGTCTGTCTGTCTTGCTTTCACGCCTAAACCACTGAAGCGATTTTGATGAAATTTGGCACAGAGATAGTTTGAGTCTCGGGAAAGGACATATGATAGTTTTTATCCCGGTATTTGAAACAGGGACGCGCGTGATAAAGTTTTTCTGTGACAGACAAAATTCCACGTGGGCTAAGCCGCGGGCGGAAAGCTAGTATAATATATGTTTTGGTCTCCTGGACATGATCGTGTATCTTCATCAACATTCAATTAGTTTATGTCATACACACATCAACATGGTCTAGGGATATTTCAATTAAACCTAAAATAGGTAAATAACTAAAATTCTATTAACTTTGTGTTAAGACACCTACACATTAAAATAAACCTTGTATAATAAACCTATCGAGTCTGATAATAAACTTTTAGATAAAGTTGAATTTAAAAAAAGCTTAGAAGAAGAGGAAAAACTCAGACAAAATTTCAATGTTAACTTTTTTTAAACATGTACATGTAAAAGTATGCACAACCGCTGCAGGTGTGTCAGGAGAGTCTTATGGATCCACGGATTATTAATTTAAGTTTTCAACATTTTATTAGTTTTAAATAGTTGTTTTGTTTAAGTTTTGATATTTCAAAAATAAAGTTAATAAAGTTTATTTTAATGTGTAGGTGTCTTAACAAAAAGTTAATAGAATTTTAGTTATTTAGGTTTAATTGAAATATCCCTAGACCATGTTGATGTGTGTATTATGTTGATAAAATAATCACAAGTAAGAGATTGGTCTTTTAGTAGATATTGTTTAAATAAAAAAATATTTTGACTGATATTGTCATTGCTTTGTTGTCACATTGCCACAGAAACTCAGGGAGCGGCATTTGACGAGCAAACGGTTTACTATTCATCTGATAAGCAAGAAACTATAAATAAGATCAGATAATTCTAGCTCGATGCAACATCACAACAAAAACTTATTGGAAGATGCATCGCTGTGATAAAATATAGTTTATTTACCATTTTAACTAATTTGGAATGTGGAGTAAAACCATTCCCAGGCACTTGTTGCGTTCGATAAGTAAGTTTTGCTTGTTATTTACAAAAACTATTTGACCTCTGTGCTGCCATTAGTTACTGATAATTCGCTAATATAAAACAGTGTTATCTTACTTACGTTCGTAAGATGATTGCTTTTCATTCTTCGTTGAAGATCCAACTTGTGTTGTGCAGTATTGCGTAACAATGGAAAAATATATTAGTGTTAAAGAACTTGAAGAGGCAGCGATCACGCTTTTGCCAAAGTCTGCACGTGACTATTACAAGAGTGGTGCTACAGACGAACAAACCTTAGCAGAAAACCGACAAGCTTTCAACAAGTTAGTAAAGCATACACTTTCACATCAGCGTTATTATTTTTTAAGCACGGTGCAGTGTCTCCAGTTTTAAACAGTGCCCAGTGGTAAATATTCAACAACAACTAAATATTTACTCACTTTATGTTATAGGCTACGTATTCGACCAAAATGTCTAGTAGGATTATCTGGCTGCGATTTACGGACTACTGTCCTAGGTCAAGAAGTATCTATGCCGCTCGGCATATCCCCCACCGCAATGCAGAGGATGGCTCACCCGGATGGGGAACTGGCTAATGCTAAAGGTAAACTTTGCAGCATTAAAGTTATCTACATAATTTGTACAGAAGTGTACCTATTCTAGAGCAAAAGTGATCGGCAATATTCATTGTTGCAGCGGCAGAAGCAGAGGGCACAATTTTTACGCTAAGCACAATTGCGACGAGTTCAATTGAAGAAGTCGCCGAAGCTGCACCAAAAGCCATCAAATGGTTTCAACTTTACATTTATAACGATAGGTTTGTAAACGCTCATTAATAATACTTTACGTTTACCTAAAGGCGTAACAATCATGTTATCTGTGCTACATACAGTCTTTACTTAATATTTCAGAGAAGTGACCAAGAATTTGGTTAAGAGAGCGGAAAAAGCCGGATTCAAAGCCATAGCTTTAACAGTCGACACTCCACTGTTTGGACTTCGAAGAGCCGACGTAAGAAATAAGTTTACGTTACCTCCACATTTAAAGTGAGCATTATTGTGATTGAATAGAACAGACTTATTTATTTGAGGGAGTTGAACTTACATATTTTTATTATTATTATCATTTTATTGGTAGGTTAGCTAACTTCGAAGGACACTTATCGACTAAAATTCATCAAACTGGAAAGGGCAGTGGATTAAACAACTATGTTCAAAATCTATTTGATAAATCATTGACTTGGGACGATATTAAGTGGTTAAAAAGGTAACTTTATTTGCAGCTGAATGATTAAGACGGTACTTTAGACTTTTTCATAACGTAGTTTGTTTGGTATTTTAGTATTACGAAGTTACCAATTGTGGCAAAAGGAATTCTTCGCGGAGATGATGCTGTAAAAGCAATAAAAGCTGGTTGTTCTGCAATACTTGTTTCGAATCATGGGGCGAGACAACTGGACGGAGTACCAGCAACGGTACGTATTTAAATCACTTCAAAAAAGGATGTTGCAGTATCAGCAGTAGGTATACCTACTACAACACGCGGTATCCATAAATCCTACTAAGTAAACAAGCAAGTTTTTATTTATACCTACTGCCCATCTGACTGACCCACAGTTCCTCCTTATCTATCAGTCAAGCAGGAACCGAACACTTAATGAATACAGTAAACAGTCTGCTCTAACAAACAATAATGTTTATGTACCTACAATTTAAAGCTTTGTTTCTTTGAGCAGCATATACCAAGACATATTTACTACTATGCTGATCTTGGTTGATTGACCGAGTTCCACCTATTTTCGTTCCGGGCATAACCCAGTCAGTTTGACCTAGGGCCTACCAAACTATCATGCAGCAGTAGTAACAGCAGACACTATTATACTCAAAGGTACTTAAGAGCGTTTACGCGAAGCGCGGCGTTTCAAGGGGCATCATTGGAAATGATTTGCGCGCGGCGTATTTTAATTGTTTTCAAATGTTTATAGCAAAACAATAACAATGAATTTATAAATCGTTTCAAAGTATATATTTTAAAGAAGATGTTATTTTATTATATTAAGCTATTTTTATGTTGAATTAAAGAAGAATAATGGTGTAAAAATCACTTTGATTTTTGGGTATTTCACGTTCTTTGAATTTGTGATTTCTTATTGTAAAATGCTTAAATCTAAGAATTTTCTCAACTATTTGCCTAAGGACCAATGCTATCTATATATATAAAAGAAAGTCGTGTTAGTTACACCACTTATATAACTCAAGAACGGCTGAACCGATTTAGCTGAAAATTGTTAGGGAGGTAGTTTAGAGCCAGGAGAAGGACATAGGATACTTTTTATCCCGTTCGAAATTAAAAAAAAAGTCTGCTTATTTATTGCCATTAAGGCGGAACAAAGTTCGCCGGGTCAGCTAGTAGGATATAAATGTTTGTTATATCGTTTTCACAGTATTTTTATAAAAATTTCAGCTTGTAAACTGACGCTAAAGTGGAAATCTAGAAAACCTGTGTGGACTTATGTTGGTAGAATTCTTAAATACTTTATTAATAGAAATATTTTCTCAACTAACTATTTAGACGATAAAATTACCTAATTATTTATGCCTATAACATATTTGTATAGAGTTGAAAAAGTACTGTTTTTGCGTCAAACGGCGTAAACGCTCTTAATAGATATTGTATTGGGATTTCAGATTGAAGCTTTGCCTGAGATCATCAGAGCAGTTAAAGACTACAATGTTGAAGTTTATTTGGATGGCGGAGTAACGACCGGCACCGATGTTTACAAAGCATTAGCTCTTGGAGCTAAAATGGTAAGCATTTGGTCTTTGATTGTAAGCAATATTTAAATAGGCAACCACGTAATACCGATAACAAATAGTTATAGATGCCTACTGCCTAGTTTTACGTTGGTATTTTTCCAGGTTTTTGTGGGTCGGCCTGCGCTATGGGGCTTGGCTGTGGGCGGGCAGGCTGGAGTTCAAAGGATGCTCTCTATATTCCGCACTGAACTCGAATATGCGTTCCAAATAGCAGGTAAATAATGTACAGTACGTACCTAATTATCGCGGTAAATAAGTTATACACCACTAAATTTTTATCACCGAAAAAAAATATTCTGGGTAATGAGTTATCGATACTGATCCCATTTGTGCAAAAAAAGTAGTTATATAAAGTGACTCAAAATTTCCTCCGAAAATTGGTAATTTATGGTCGCTAGCACTATTTACGTACGATAATGTAACACTTATTAGAATTCAGAATGGTCTAAGTTAGCTAAGTATGTAATAATAACACTGGAAGCTTTGTCGAGGCGTGAGCGAGACAGACAGATCGATGCAACGTGCGAGAGCGTACGACTACTCTAGCGAGCAGCGGAGTGACAAAGCTGTGACGCGTAAAATACGGACTAAAGGAAATTTAATAAAAAAATTAACTTTATGAAAAACATTTCTTTTTCTTTTGCTTTAAATATTTCACACGTTTCTACATAACCTGTTAAAATTTTTTCGGTGATAAAAATTTTGTGGTGTATATGGTTTTTAATTTATATCGACTTATTTTTTTCTTACAGGTACTCCTACAGTTGGTGATATTACAAGTGACATGGTGCGACACGAAAGCATTTACAGCAAGTTGTAATTTATTACCTACGCCTACCTTAAATAGTTTTAATTAATATTTAATATAAATATACTTTAACTAATATTTAATATACTTTTCTATATTTTGATACAAATTCTAGTTTAATTTTATTTACACGACCTTAGTTGTAGTTCCCGTGGACATTATTTTTTAAAGTACGATTTCCGAACAAGTGAATGGAAAACAGAGAAAAATATTTTTTCAAATTAATCTCTTTTATTTAAAAATCATAATCAAACAGTTTTATTCTTATTTTACAATTAATTTACGATACAAATTATACAGCACTTCGGGTGTCATGTAAGTCTCTCGCGGCCACATAGCTCTTGATATTTTCTGGAAAAAATATTAAATAGTTATTATTATCACAAATTGTTTATAGGTACTTTTTATTTATAAAATTTGAACTTGATAACCGTACCTTGAAATCACATCCGTATAAGTTAATTCCTAACTTGAGCTTAGTGACTGTCTCCTTGAGGTAATGGTCGTTGTTAACTTTATACTTTAGTGAGACGGTATCGTTACAGGTTTTGCAAGATTTGATATTGTCCGTTTCATTGAATTCGCTGTTACGTATGCTTTCTGGATTTTTTCTTAAAAGCAGAGCGTCCCTCTTGCGCATGTAATCAGTAAAGCTGTAACTACATGAATGTTCAATACTGCTAACGTTAACAGTAGGATTCTTCACGTCCGCATCATCACTTTTCTTAGATTTGAATATGTTTTTAACAGTTTTCACAAATGTTGTGCACGAGTCATTTATAACGTTAAACAGTCTTGATGTCATTGATCTGTTCTTCAAATCTCTTTTTGGCTTAACTCCATCTTTGGAATATCTTGCGGCCTTAAAAGTTTTATCCATTCTTCTAACAATTCGTTTTGTTGGTGCTAAGCGGTTTTGAGATTTTGTTAAATTAATGGCTTTTGTATTTCTTTTGTCTTTTTTCGGAGTGGAAACAAATATCGGATTGAAGTCTAGAAGACTAGGATCTTCATTTTCAAATGTTGACGCATGGGTCAGCAGAGCACTGCTCAGAAATGTCGCGTCTTGTTGCAAAATGTTGTTGCTCATCATATCGCTTGATATCGTTTCAATTTGATTAGAGATAGAATTATGTGTAACCGACGGATGTTTAACAATTTGGGAACCGAAAGTTCCCATTTGTTTGTAAACTTTAACGTTTTTCCCGTGCGTATGTTTTTTATTGTTTAGTAAGAATGAAAACGACATTTCATTTGAGGTGGGGTCAAAGTTTTCCGTTTCTTTATTCAACTGTTTTTTCATGTTAATTGCTTTGTATCCGGACATATTTCTTTGGATCTTTTTTGAGTTTAACATAACGTTTAAATGGTCCTGTTCAACGTTTGTTACTTCATCAGTATGTCTTTTCATTTTCTGAATAACGTTGTTCCTTGCATTGTACTGATGTATTTCATTGATAACATTTTGCAATAGTCTTGCGGTATCGTCAGGCTTTAAGAATGCGATATCAATTACAGAATGCTCATTATTTCCTGTTATGTCCTGATTGTTTCTTAGACTGAGATCATTATTTTTGGCTTTAGCTGTAATAAAAAAAAGAGATTTATCGCGGGGACACTTTTTAACTCCTAGCACTTGATGCCTGTTCTCGCATTCAACGTAAAGTCTTATTTACCTGTAGTGACTTTTATTCGGGAATTTAAATGATGCCAGATTAAGGTAGCCCACTGACCAATCTGTGGACAAAAATGGAACTTTTAGTAAAACTTATTTGGTATTATCTGGGTTTGAAACTTGATCAGAATGCATTTCTTACCTTGTTTTGTGTGCCATATATATTTTTTAAATAGGTTATATTTTCAAACACGGTTTCATGGATCAGATATAACATTTCTTGTGAAGAATGTTGAACTAAAGAACTCAAAAGCTGCATTGATGTGTCATCCAGAAGAGACTCCCTCCTACAAGCAAGAAGTTTTCAGAATTTCAGTAGGTAAGTAATTTACGTATTTAATTTTTATGTTTGGTAATAAATTACCTTCTGAAGAGTATTATGCCGTTGGATTCCACAAACAGTTGCGAGTTATACTGATGGTTATGTATCAAGCTTTTTAATATTTCCATGGCTTCCGTATTTCCTTGAATACATTTCTGTACGGCCTATTAGATAGTAAATTTTAGTTTAAGCTTCCGTCATTTTCCTCGGTTGGTCGTTAATGAGTAAACGTAAGTAAGTAATGTTGTTAATTAAGTGGTATCTGAATGGTTAATAGATCTTACCATAGGGACCAAATGTGAGCAATAAGACTGATTTTCAGTTGAATGTCGGCAAGATTCGGCTAAACATTGACACAGTGCCCTCCAAGTTTCCTGGTGCTGAAATGTTACTTAAAAATTACCACAATGTTCGAAATATAAAATGAGCGATTATTAGCAGGAACTTACCAACATACAGCTAGTGAACATATTGCACATAAGTAGCAAACATCCGCTAATCCTGATCATGTTCTGAGCATACAATACCAAACTTTTCCCCCTAGATGGCCCCTCTTCCTCCTCAGTTAGATATAGCAATGCAGTAATGAAGTTTAACGCTCGTACAGTTTTCACCGATTGGCTCTTACGTAGCACTAAGCTAATTTTGTCATAAATGTTATTTCTGGTGATTATATCTCCTTTATAGGTCTCCTTAAAACGATAATAAATTAGAAATGTTTATGGAATTACATACATATTATTATTGCTATTTTTTGTATCTCAATGGTACTAGGCTATACTTACATTTGACACTAAATACGCTGCTAACACAGAAAATAATTTTACTAATAACTCAACATCATCGGTCGTATTTATCAACTCCACAAGTTTTTGCACATCTTCTGTGCCAGAAACTCCTTTTTTATCGGACATGTTCTAAAACAAAAGTTAGACACTAAATTGATGACAAATGTATAGAATAGGTACTAACTTTTGCCCGCGGCTTCACTCGCGTGAAATTTAGTTTGTTTGATTGTCATAAATTATAGCCTTTATATGTTATTCTGGGTTATAAACAATAATACAGTAAAGTTTCATTAAAATCCGTTCAGTAGTTTGCGTGAAAGAGTAACAAAGATGTTGACATCAAGACATCCATACAAACTTTCGCATTTATAATATTAGTAGGACAATATTTTTTACATGACGTTGACTCAAGTAGACTCAACTTACATTATCAATTTCTCCGCAAGTGGGGAAGGATTTACCAATTTCTATATTCTTCATACTGTAGGATGAGTACATAATCAACGATTAAATTGAGATTCCCAAAACATTTATTGACTTTTAAATACTTGGATCAGTAGGTAACCTCCGTTTCTGTGTAAACTTTTTTGAACTTGGCGCTTCATCAGCGATGATAGTTTTTTTTTTTTTTTTTTTTTCTATGATGGCATGCNGCGCTTCCCCGATGATAGTTTATTACCGCCAAATTCACCACAGATTAAAAATATGTATTAAGATGAATAATGATAAAGCTTGACGCGCATTGTGTTAACTTTTGTCATTGTTGTTATTATCTTTTGATTGTGTACTGAAGGGGGAAGATAACTGCTGAAGAAAATGCTTCCTGAAAAAGAGAAAATAAGGAATGCACGATTCAAATAATGTAATGCACGGCAACTGCTGTGCATGAGTAAGTATAGTTTTTGTACCTTTGCACAAAAAAACAAAAAAGTTGTCACTGTCAATGTCATGATTGTCAGGTGCAAGTGTCATTTTGTTGTCAATTGTCATCGGAAAATGCGAAGCGTCCTTCTCCCATTTTCGTATTTTCGTTGTTTTCTGCTAGATTAGAAATTGATTAGTAATTTCATATTACTTCAGTTTTGCTAATAAAAGTGGCCTTAAGAATTTGTTTTGTATATGATATATAGTTTATAAATTATGGACGTCGGGGAGTTGCTTTCTTTTAAGGTTAGTTATTTTTATTAGAAACTCATTGAATTGCTCTTAAATTCTAAGTAAAAATGCATACTATCAATACAAAAAGTATGCGGGCGTGCAGTTTCGAATTCTGCTGTGAGATGATTCAGCCCAACATTTAACTGATTTCTTTTTTAGCCTGTTCCTACACCTAAACGGCCAAATGAAGATGATAGTGGTGACTCTGATGACGAGAGCGTTAGAAGTGCAAAGGTGCGACGGATGGTTAGGCCTAGGCCAGAGCAATACATACAATTAAGTCAAGGGCTTCCAAACGAGCCAACAATAACGGATAAAGAGAGAGAAGACATTCTACGATTTGTGGAGAATGAAGTCACTGAGGTAAAAAAAATTATAAACTATAACATTATCTTAACAGATTAATCAAACTTCTAATTGTAAACTTCTTTTGAAAGCAATTACTTTAGTTTTAACACTAAAATTTATACTTTTTCAGGGGGAAGTTTTAGATGAAACTGCTGTAAAGAAACTGGTTTTAAACTTTGAGAAGAAAGCTTTGAGAAATAGAGAAATGAGAATTAAATTCCCAGATCAGCCTGAAAAGTTTATGGAAAGTGAAATAGATTTGCATGAGGCTTTACAGGTATTTCTTTCACAAAACAATTTTGATAAAAAAATACCCTATGTTTTAAAAGTTTTGTGACAGAAGAAATTAACATTTGATTATTTATTTATAGGAATTAAGTGCAGTGGCTACTGTCCCTGATCAGTATCCTTTGCTTGTGGAATTAAAATGCATTAATTCTTTACTGGAATTACTGTCACATGATAACACTGACATATCTACTAAAGTGGTGCATCTTTTACAGGTTAGTATTTATTAAAGATGTGTTCAACTGTTCATATAATTACTTTTATTAATTCCTTCATAATATGGCCATAAATGATGTATTAATAAATAATGTAAATTTAGAATATGGTCTTTGTGGTAATCCTACCACATTTGAAATTAACAAATAATAATTTTAGATATCTTATTATGATAGTATTTTAGTTTAGTACTCACATTCTTGTCAAGTCCATGTACTTATTTCTATGGATATCCTTAGGAGTTGACTGATGTTGATATATTAAATGAGAGTGAAGAGGGAGCGGAAGAACTGATTAAGGCGTTGGCTGACGCAGAGTGTCCTTCACTTCTGCTGCACAACCTTGCTCGTCTGGATGAGCAAGTACCAGATGAAAGGGATGCTGTGCACAATACATTAGGTAAGTAATTTTGTTTATTTATGTAATCTTTTATAGTCTTTTTCACGTAAGATGATCCGTATGACACTTCAAGGTTATCGATATTACGCATACTACATATGCAGAATATTTTTGAAAAAATATTTGTATTTTATTAGCAATATAATAAAAAAAAAATTAACTACTTGTCTTGAAATATATAGTAAAATCTGAGTCTATTGATTATATTTTAATTAAATACGATATAAAAATATTTTTTATTTAATGTACGCAATGTGTGAAACGGAATAGATTTAGTGCTGGGGTATTTCTTGTATAATAAAATCGATTATTTCCGCGGTTCATTAATCGATTGCAGTGAATACTTAGTTATTAAAAACATCACAAAAATCAACTATATTTTTCGATTATTGACTTTAATAAACGCATTGAAAATAAATTAATAGTTTTTAATTTAAAAAGAAACAGAACCAGTACTTTTTAGGAATCGTTTTTTTGAACACGAACCATGAAATTTGAATATTATCAATAAAAAATTGTTACAATAATATTTGTAATTAAAAAAAACATGTTTTTTGTTAAATAACACCTATACAAAATAATTCTCTAAAAGTAGGTTTAATAACTCTTCGACAAAAATCGATAGATAAATCGCTATGGTTTAGTTATGTGACATCTCTAAATCTTTCAAACTCGAAACGTCATATGGATCATCTTAGGTGAAAAAGACTATAGGTTGGTGCATATGATGAACTTAATTTAAAATACAATAATTAAAATGATTTTCAATCTTATTCATCTTATTTATACAGGTATTATTGAAAATATTACCGAGTTCCGACCAGAAATGTGCATTGAGGTTGCAAAGCAAGGATTTATGCAATGGATACTGAAACGGCTAAAAGTAAGAAAATCTTATTTTTAAACAAGTTGACTTAAAATAAAAGAGTAAAATGCACACATTCACTAATTGTTTCAGATGAAAGTACCTTTTGATGCAAATAAATTGTATGCTACAGAAATTTTATCAATTTTGCTACAAAACACACCGGAAAACAGAAAGCTGCTTGGAGAGCTTGATGGGATAGATGTTCTATTGCAACAACTTGCGGTAATTGTCTTGTTTGCCCTTTTATTAAAAAAGTAAATTCATTGATGATGATCCATCCGACCGATTTCGGCCATGGCGACCACTCCGTCTCCTAGTTTTGGAAAGTAATAAATGAGTAAATTGATTGATTAATGAACAAACGCTTTGATAGACCTTAAAGTACTCTAAAGATGTGTGTTTAGCATTTTATTCTCTGTGTAAATGACTTAAGGTTTGTTTTCCAATGCAGTTCTACAAGAGACACGACCCCAGCGGCGCCGAGGAGCAGGAGGCGATGGAGAACATGTTCGACTCGCTGTGCTGCGCGCTCATGGAGCCCACCAACCGCGACCGCTTCCTCAGGGGCGAGGGGCTGCAGCTCATGAACCTTATGTTAAGGTACGACGATTCAAACTCCAATGCGCAAGCTCTGTATATTGTGGAGCGTCAATCTTATCCACGTCCACTGCTGGACAAAGGCCTCCCCGAAGGTTTTCCATAATTAACGGTGCTGCGCTGCTCGCATACAGGTTCTTCCCGCGACCTTTACCAGATCGTCGGTCCACCTAGTAGGTCTGCCCACGCTACGTCTTCCAGCCCGTGGTCGCCACTCGAGAACTTTTCTGCCCCAACAGCCATCCTATCCTATCCTATACATTATGTTATTAAAAGCTCCAAGTTCTTGCTTTGACTGCTGATGACTACCCTTTTGTTCTTTGTCAATTCATCATCACCAAGAAAGGTCTAACTTAGCTTTACCTTTATGAGTCACCATTTTGCAAGGCTCCCAGCATGTAGTTTAGGTTTAAATGAGTAAAGGAAGATAGATTCATACAAAGTATTTACTATGCTTTGGACTCTAAAGATACTATTTACCTACTGTCTGTTAGCATTAGCTAATGGTAGATTTTTATTTCAGAGAGAAGAAAATGTCGCGTAACGGCTCTCTGAAGGTTTTGGATCACGCTCTGGCCGGGCCCGACGGTCGAGACAACTGCAACAAATTCGTTGACATTCTTGGCCTACGCACGGTATTTCCGTTATTCATGAAGACACCCAAAAGAAAAAGATTGCTAACAGTTGATCAACATGAAGGTAAGTAGATTACAATTTCTCCAAAAACGGGTGTACGGGTGTATCAGTTGATCAACTTACACGTTTTGTTACAGAACACGTTGTATCTATCATAGCTTCTATGCTACGGAATTGTCAAGGCAGTCAGCGACAGAGACTTTTAGCGAAATTCACTGAAAACGATTTAGAAAAAGTGGATAGATTACTCGAGTTACACTTCAAATATATGGATAAAGTGGATAGGACAGAAAAGGAGATGGAGGTATATACCATGTCAAGGTCTTCACATATTTTCATCTTGTTACTATAATGTACTTCATGTTTATTATGTCCTTACAGGTAGAAGCAGAAGATCTAGATGATGATGCTCAATATCTAAAGCGATTATCTGGAGGCTTATTTACATTACAACTCATTGACAGGATTATTTTAGAGGTATGAAATTATGCATTTTTAGTTCCCTCTATACCTTAACCACGTTAACTATTTTGATTCTTGTAAGAACATTCATTCAGTGATTAATTTTTTGTTGTTTGTATCATCAGGTTTGCACAGCGGGACCATCGACTATAAAGCAGCGTGT